ACGTAATAATGATTAATAACAATCATACGTAACAATTGTAACAAATGACTAAACCTTCAATCGTCTTCTTAGTAATATTTAACTCGACTCCGATCAATTACAATTTGCTCGCAAAAATAACTGATTAGATTAGTGTGCGGCATGTCTGGAGATAAGTTCCCATTTAATGTAATTATCGTAACACGAGCCTGAATTATCATTTAATACTCATACGTGATCGGTTTTGAATATTCATATAATGTAATAAAATATAATAACATTTACTATAGTATACACATCACGAATACGAAAAAAATTAGAACATGAGAAGTGTATTGCCGAAGTTAATTGCGCCATAGTTTCCAAGTGCTTCATCAGCATCATAGTGTCAATCACAAAAAGTTCACAATGTCTTACAGATCTACTGGCTCTAGGTCTAGAAGCGACTTGCATTCAGCGGTTTTCGGATGATTCAACGTCAATTTTTGAGCGACATCGACACGCTGCTGGTCTGATTTCATACAGCAGACAAAGTTACATTCAATCAGTTAGGGCATTACTTTTTGTGGCTTTTTTAGCAGGGACCTATATAGTTACAGAAAAACAATTTAAGGATATTATTACGTTCAAGAATCAAGAAGAATTAAACACTAAATTATTTATGTTTATGTTATTCTAACTATTGACATTAATTATTGAGTGGGTATTTTTGATCTCATTTTTGATCTCATTTTTGATCTCATTAGATGTGATTATTGGATATTTGATATCTAATTTTGGAACTTTTAATTACCTTTAGGATTATTTACAAAGATTATTTCATTTAATTTCTAATTTTAAATACACCTTATTTTAAGAATTGTTTAACCAAAATTTTTAATGTTTATAAATTTTATATTTGACTTGTTTTATATTGTTATATTATGATTTGGATTTTTTGATATTGTATTTCTTTTGTATTTTCTTGACATTTCTGTAATTTAATTTAATCTAATTTCATTCAATTGCTATAAATGTTTGTATGGGCATGATGTGATTCCCTTTAATTGAAGGATCACAAGGTTATTGTAACGTGTGGTGGATTATGTTTTGTATGTAAGTGTATCTTTTTTTGGGAGTCCAAATAAATAAATAAAAAAAAATAGTTTAATTAAAGCCAAACTAATCATACAATCTTTATAATTATTGTATTTTTAAAGTAAGTTCTTATTTTTCCCAACATTATTACGAAAATTCTATAATTACATACTTTATGATCTTATCATTGTGAGCTAGTAAATGTTTTGGTAAAAACCCATAAAACGGTTAATAGATATAGGATTACAAGTTGTATCTTTATAAAATTGATTAATTCAAACACGTCCGATATCAGTGGCGAATTATTAACTCCGTCTGAATGTCATATATTTTCTTTTTAGCCTTGTGTGAGTACATTTATATAATACAAGGTTAATTTGCAAAAATATTTTAAATCTAACAAACATACAAATACTATAATAATTTGCCAGTAGCTTCGCTTACAAGTGTGAAGTAAAATAAGCAATAATTTTTCAAGGTTATAAAAGTATTCAAGGTCTATTTTTGCACAAAATTTTATCAAAATCGACTGTCTCCTTGACTGAGTAATTCCAAGTGCAGATTGTTGAAGTAGGTAATCCTAGAATACCTAGTTGTGTAAAGAGTGGCATATTTCTTTTAGATTTTCGATTTCACTGATGATATAGAGATATTTTTGGCATATGTATATAAAAAAGGTCACTTTTTAACGGGGCTTAACATCGAAATTGGGGAAAGTTGATTAAGAATAATTATTATGTGGTAAAAGCAAAAAAGCTTCTTTCCATGTTTATAACAAATAGTTTTGTTTCTATAAATGTTGTTCGTGTTTCAACTTTTTCCTGTTATTTTAATGTTATAAATCAAAATGTCGGACTGTGTCGTATAAAGTTATGCATCACTGATAGAAATGAACAGTTATCAAAATTTCCCCTTCCATTACTTTGTTCATTGTTAGTCATAACAAAAATATTATTATTTTTAAGTTTGTAAGAAAGAGAAAAAAATGGTCTGTCTTGCTCTTTCTAAAAATAGAACTAGTGACACACACTCGCAGCGATGGAAACAAAACAATTTGATAAAGTGTAACCTACTCGTGACGTCACGATACACTTCCACAGACCAAATCCTTCCGATATATCGACTTGTTGGGAAAGACTTTTTAATGACACATGTGATTCATCTAATATTATAGGCTATAGTGAAACAAACATGGCTTAGTCTAAAAATAAATATGTTATTGTTATCAATCTTGGTATTAAGTCTTACAATCTTACTGATATATCGTAAGCTGATGATTCACGACGCCTGACTCACGCCGGTTACGACTTTTTAAACTATTCGTCACCGATAATGTACATGAAGCTTTCTAAAAATATAATTTGTATACAGCAGGGATCTATGGACCTATCTTTATGGCTTTATTTTTAAATTTGTTTGTAACACTCATACTGTTGCTAATCATTTTAGTTGTTTTATTACGAAACGTTTATCATGAGGGTCAATAGATTGGTTCTACGTCACAATGAATGAAAACGGATATAACAATAAACTATACCTTTGTCGCGACACATGACACAAATCAACAGATGACGTCACAAGAATCCTACATAGCACATGCAAAGTTTACAAGCAAATAAACATGGATAGAAAAAACCAACGAACAACTGTTGGGCAGAAAGCCCGCCAGGCACGATCACCTCGCCTGGTCGGAGAATCCTCCTTTTCCGATCTTAGAAAACTTTTGGGGATTAGACTGATAGAAAAATGATGGTAAAATTACTCGGAGTTTTCACTTTTGTAACGGAATGACTTAGTCGAGTCCACTCAATATTACACCTTGTTCCTTTGGCAATAAATCATTATTTACCGGACAAACGGAGATAGAACGCAACCTTCTGTCTTTGAGGGCGCTTAAGTAAGTACGTGTTTATTTAAAGGGGGGACAATCATCGAATGACTTCTCCTGCCTGGGTGAGGCGGGAGGGAATGTCAGGCTCTTACTGTCTAAAAACCACCCCGTTCCTACTTCTGCACTTCGAGCCGGAGCCCTGGTAACCCGTTAAGTTCTCCGCGTGGTTAGGTTTAAGTACATAAAAATAAAACTAGCTACTAGTATGTTAGCAAGCTAAATTTTCCATAGTACATTATAGAAACATGAACATACAGTCCAGCCAGCCCTTGGACATTATTCCTTAATTTTTATTATTATGGCGACAATCGAAATTTTTAAAGAGTTCAATAATAAACATGCTTGGCTCTCTAAGTATTACGACGAATTGTTGTCTTTCTGGAAACTAATTTTATTCAAACTTGGCAATAAGTAACTTACCTACCTATATTTAGATAGTATCTATTATGTGTTTACTGAGAAAGTAAACAGATCGGCGTATGATGATTAATGTTATTTAATATTTGCCGTGAATCAGCAGCGAAGGTGCGATTTTGATCAAATTCAATGTCACCTATTGTTATACCTAACTTAGGTAACTCATAGGTATTACGTAAAGTTCTTATCATTACATTACTAACTTTTAGATTTAATCGTTGTTTTGACAAATATTTAGTTTGCCACATACATACATGCGTGAGTGGTACATAGTTATACATAATAAAATACACTTTGATACAAGACCTAGCTTTACTAGAGAAGTGACAGCAGTCACATTTTATTTTGTTAAACATTCAAAGGTGCCTGTTACTGGTCTAATTGGAATAAAAGATTTGGCTTTTACTTTAATCGCTGAGTAGCAGAGCATTCTTCGTTCCATTACTAATGTTTATAACATAACATAACATAACATCACACCTTTTATCCCCGAAGGGGTAGACTGAGGTGCACATTACGGCACTTACAATGTAACACCCACTTTTAACTATTTGTGTTATGAGTCCCATGTAATAGGGGGTGAGCCTATTGTCATATACCGGGCACAATTCCAGACTCCGTGCTAGAACTTACAACTGAGACCCCTTGGCCAATGAGGCAGTCAGAGTAATGTTTACTATTCCTGTGTAATTTATTAATAGATCACTTTGATTAATGTAAATAACTTCAGTTAGGTTCAGTTACTTAGGTGTCACAGAGAGTTACTCATGAAATGAGCCTCTTGCGTAGCTTGAAACTAGTCGAGTTCCTCGTCAAACAGTTACGTGAGTAAGCTGAAGACATAATAATTAATATTTTATTAATTTTTATGGCATAAGCTGGTATTCCATCAGACGGATCACGTGATAGTAAGTAATGGCGTCGCCCATAGACACCCGAAACACCAGAGATGTTACAAGTGCGTTACAGGCCTTTTAAGGATTAGAAATTTAAGGAATTGGGGATTCGGGGATTGGGGAGATTAAGTAGGGGGGTAATTAAGCCTCCGGTAACTTCACTCATATGACGAAACCCGACGCAAGTATTGTTTCACGTCGGTTTTCTATGAGGCCGATATTTCGAGCTGAAGCATGGCTCTTCATTTAGTGTTTGTTTTGAATTTGTTTTAACTCTCACGAACGTTTTCATATAAACCTCAGTAAGGAGTAAATCATTTCAATTATTAATGTTATCTACTGAAACACATACATGGGTAAGTTTTGCTGACCGTTATGGAAAATTGTCTTTTATGAAGAACACTTATCAAGCTTTTACATAAAAATTGAATAGATTTGAATTAAATCAGTTGCTAAGGAAACCTTTCACATCAAAAACTCCTGGAAATTAATGAATAATTATAAAAAAACAACTCAAAACAATATCCATATCAGTGGCGAAAAGTCCGTCGCGTTTAGTCACCGCACTAATTCAGATATCACAATAAAAAAAAAGATTATTGATAAATTAGCAAAGATTACTGGCTTATCATTAGCTTGGTAATCAGTAATTCTCACAATATCATCGGCTTTTATATAAATATATTTGTTGGACGGTGGGCACAACATTAGTCGTAGTTGCTTGGACACAAACAGTCGCGATGGGTACGCAAAAGTACTTTATATTTCTGCTAGTAGCAGTGTGCACAGTGTACGGACAAAGTAGTGTGTTTGATCAGGATTTGTACCAGAACGTGTTGGACCCCGAAGAATGTGAAGCTCAACTCAACTTTTTGGCGAACGAAAATATGTTAAGAAACCAATGTGAGTTACTTTCCTATTATTACCTAATTCATTGCTAGTGTTTCACTTTTCCCGTAAATATTCTTTTCTGACTTTAAATTGATTTTTCAATCATTATATTCTTTACAAATAACATCGACTTTGTCAAATTTAGCGGCTTTCCTCTTGACCTAATTAATGAAAGGATTAGCATGATTAGTAAAAATAAACCTTGAAATTTTTAATTCGATACAAAATTCCATTATCACTGTTATTGGAACATTAAAAGAGATTTTATTAAATCTGCTTTAAGCTTTTTAAGTAACATGTTCAATAATTAGACTCAATATTTAATTACGTTAATTAACTTTGAAGTTATTACTTCATTAATTTGTATCTACTAAACTGGTGGTTGTAAAATTAATCTTGTTGTAATAATTATACAGTGTTGTTTTGTAAAACTTCACTTTAAAGATTAAGTATTGGAATTATATCCGTTGTGCAATGACTCACTACAAAATATTTACAACGTGCATTATCGCACAGGTGGCGACTGTAGTTTTATGATGCTTAATTAAAGTATTAAGAAAAAATATCGGTTTCAAAAGCTTAGGGATCGAACGATTTTAATCGATCTCAGCTTAACGGTATTTAGGTACTGCGTTCTATAATGAATCGATGTTTTCTTGATTTATGTCTTTAGAAACCATTTAACTAAATATAGCAGTATTACGCAATATTCCAAAAGATTAGTTAGTCTTTTGGAGTATTATTATTTTTGAAGGAAAATTATTATTCATATTTAATTAGGATTACTTAACAATTATTTTAAAATCTTTATCATTTATTGCATGAGAATCCGATCAGGCGATTTTATAATCATATATTAAGCCTATACATAGTTATCATATTTTACAACTGGGAAAATCTCTTTTATAATCAAAAGAATGATAACTCAATTCCGAACCGGTATTGTATCAGTGTATGGCAATAAAACGTCATATTTGTAACAATAACATACATACGATATAAACCTTGCCTTAGATTAATTATCGTGCCATAATATTTTTGTTTGAAACGCAATAAGCGTAAAATATTGTACTTATTAGGATTATCATTGTATTATAAGTGATAGAAAATTCTAGCTGAATATGTAAGCTGTATTTGGTATAACAATAAAGTTAAACACAACTTCCCATGGGGCCTACCATATTTTTGCTACACGACGCTAGTGTGAACCTTTCGTTTGTCCTCCAATAGGGAATCAGCGAGTGTCACACAATTGGCGGTTCAATATTTTGACAGCTGCTGTGATTGGACAAAAACTTCTTCGTACATTTGCGACGTCTGGTGACCAAATATACGGTAGCCCCCATTGTGTAGTAGCTAATGATGTTTTCTCATATTCCATAATTCTACTGAGGTTTTGCGCATAAGATACACTGACACGTGAACTTCGGCAAACAATAGTGCAAGTAGCAGACACGTGCTCATTATCATCTACACAACGTGTTTCCCCATCCAGATTGAACTGATTAATTATAAAAGTTATCAGCTCATTATTTGGCAATCCAATAGTTTCGGGGACTATTTCTAATGATTAGAATCGTATAATTTTATCTTCAATGTTTGGAAATCACGATGTAACCTTTGAGCAATGATTAGACTGATTGTAACTTGCGATGTCAATTTTTTGCGATAACACTTCCAAGTATCCGGGTTGATATTGGCAATTGTAATTATTAATAAGGTCACATAGCGATTGAAAATAAGATTTTCAACCCTGTATTCAAACATTAGTCGATCTGTAGATCTTACCAAGGAGATCTATACATCTGTTTTTTCAATGTGTTTAACGCAATATTATTTGTTTCAGTTCTCGATGCCAGTGGCAAAATACCAAGCAACCTCCTTGGTGGCAATTGGAATGACCTGGGAGACTACTTTCAATGCTTGAGGATCCGTGAAGTAATTGATGAGACAACTTACCAGGGAAAATATTGTTCTGTCAGTGTTCCAATTACATCTTTACCACCGTTTGATATCCCTACAACAGACCCAAGCGGCACATTCCCTCCTTTCACATGGCCGCCTGGCTTCACTCTACCTGATGGCACAACACTGCCAACCGGTTTTACTCCTGATTGGTTACCTCAAGAAGAAAGTTCATACAAATTCAATTATCCACCATTCCCTGAAATCGACAGTGAAACGCGCCAAGCTGTTGAAACTTACAGTAACTTGAAGAAATACATATTTGGAATTTCTGGCATGGGAGAGCCAGTTGAGTCCATCAGGTAAACATCGCTTTAATTTATTTTTTAAAGCCTAAACTTGAATAAATCCTTTACTAACTACCTATTAATAGTGACGAATTAATACAGAGTTTATTTGTTTACAGCCAACCTGCTAACAGAGTCTTCCCGATTTACATCGCATCCAGCTTAAGGGCAGTGCTAGGAATTTGTATTCCCGCAGTATGCTCACCAAGCCAAACCATAGATTTCATTGAATCCCGGATTCCGTATGCTAACTTCACAATTGAGGAGCAGTACTGCAGGCTGCCCGATGACAAACCTTTAGCTCCTGCTGATATCGTTGCGATGTAAGTTCTATTATTATGTATATAAGTTCAATCGTTACTCACATAATTATCTACAATTTTTTTCTTAAATTTTGTTTCTTATTCTATGTACTTAATATTTCCGTTTTCTTGCAGTGTCATCTTCTCTATTATTGGACTGTTGCTTATTGGTAGCACAACTTACGACCTCATCCAAACTTTCTTATTCAAACGAGGTAAGTTAAATTATTTCTAATTGACATTATGATACTACGAGTATTCATGCTGCGCATTGTTTAACAAAATATACATAATATGAAAACAATCGATGAAATAGATAAAGATAGTTGTGTGATTAAAAATCAACGTGACCAGATTTGTAGAAAATTAATAAAATAATCTTATCAGAGTTATTTATCAAGTTTTCTTGTACTTGTGAAAGCCATAATGACACATTGAAATATGTTTTGACAAAACAATTCCGAAGTTAGGCGTAAAAAGTATCGTAATAAAATTGACGTTTGCTTTCTCATCTGCAGCTCCATCCCGCATCAACCCACTGTTCGTCAGTTTCTCCGTGTACACGAACACTCGCCGCTTTTTGACCTTCAAGTCCTCTCCTGGCGCGCTCGAGTGTGTGGATGGGATCCGCGCTATCTCCATGATGTGGGTCGTCGTAGGACACACCTACTGCATGACTTTGCTAAACTACGTACACAACCTTTTTGATACTGTAGAAGTAAGTACATACCAGAACTTCGTAATTTATTGTAAATATCAAATAATATAACGTTCCAATTCTAATGATGTTATGTCTTTGCAGTGGCTCACTTCATTCCAAGCGACATGGATCAACTCAGCACCGATCACTGTGGATACTTTCTTTTTACTCAGTGGTATACTTGCTGTATACACAGTCATTGGAAAGATCTCCCGAAGTAAGTTCGAAATTTAAAAATATTGATAGGGCCTTAATAATCTTAACCCAATTTAAGTGTTATATTCATAGAATTGAGTTTTGTATTAAAGAGTGCCTTGTTCTTTCAGCACGTTTCATCAGGACTATCCATCTTTTCTACCTGAACCGTTTGCTTCGTATGTTCCCACTGTTGGCTGCTGTAGTTCTGCTCCAAGCCTCTGCTTTCCACCACGTGTCTGACGGTCCGTACTGGACGAACCCCGCTCACGCCACCGAGAATTGTCGGGAATACTGGTGGTCTGCCTTACTTCACATTCAAAATTACGTGAACCCTCTTAGAATTGTAAGTAAAACCGTGATTTTTCTAAACATTGTTTTAGTTAATAGACCAAGGCTAATAAATTTTCTCGTTTCCAGTGCTTATCCCAAACCTGGTACCTATCAGTGGACATGCAGCTATACATCGTCTGCCCGATCGTGCTGGTCTTTTGCTTCGGCTCAGAGAAGCTCTCTTGGTGTGTCCTCACCGGCTTCGTACTGCTGTCCCTCGTGTCATCCTCACTGTACAGTTTCTTGAATAACTTCTCTGCTGCATTAGCTAATCCTGTGTAAGTAATTAAAAAGTCATAATAAACAATTTTACCAATTTGAGAAAAAAGTATATGTATTGTAATTTAGTGGACTTGAATAATATTAATTAATAATTTTTGTTACACAGGCGTATCCCTCAATTCCAATCTTACGTGCAGACTTACTACCTGAACACTTTGGCTCGTGCTCCTCCCTTCTTCGTGGGAATGATCTATGGTTATCTGCTGTACTTATGCAAGGACAAGAAAATCAGAATATCTAAGGTTAGTTGTAGTATTTGTGTCTATGTGGTAATCTAAGATTTGAAGTCATTTTTTTCAATTAATGGATACAGTATTTGTGGTCACAACAATAACATTTTTTTTTAATTTCAGTTCCAAGTGATTATCCTGTGGGCTTTGTCCTTCATTATGATGGCGTTCTGCATCTTCTCGATCTACCCCGTGATGCAGCGAGAGCACAGTGCTCAGCTGTTCGACAACTTCTTGAACGCTTACATGCGCGCTATCTGGGCCATTGGCTTGGGTTGGCTCATCTTTGCCTGCGTCCATGGCTATGGAGGTAAGATTCTTTTTAAATATCTTCATCCTACGATAAATCTTTTCAATTCAACTCATAATTTCTTGTGACGAACTTACGTAATAGGCAAGTTTTATATATAATGTCTCCTCCTCAGGTCCTATCAACTGGTTCCTCTCGTTACAAATCTGGAAGCTGCCAGCTCGTCTCTCATACGCCGTCTATCTGATCCACTTGCCAATTATCTTCACGGCCGTTGGAAGCTGGGTGAAGCCTTACTACTTCACTGATGGACAAAATGTAAGTAAAAAAATATTTGTTTCATGTAAATAAAAACAGTATTTATCCAATGTTCGTTTTACTAATTGTGTGTGTATTTTGTTCACAGATTTACAGATTCATGAGTGACTTCTCTCTTTCTTTCTTGTTCGCCTTCATCCTGTGTATCTGCATTGATGCTCCTTTCTCAACACTTCAGAAGCTTGCTTTGGGTGGTAAGTTGTACTTTTTACTTCGATATAGGATTTTTGAAAATTTAATTTGAATACATTTTTGTTTTACTTTGTAAAGTCCTCAAGAATTTTATTATTTCTTTTTAATTTAATTCCTTCAATCTCTTTTCTCACGTGGTTTTTATTATGATGTTTAACCATTTATTTTCAATTCCAGGTGGCAAAAAGAGACCTCCAAAGGAGACGAAGCCTCCAGTAGAAGAATCTCCTGAAGTTGTTAGCGCCACAAACGACAGATTTGTCAAGACAACTTTATAGACGACTACTAAAAACTGACAGACTGACTGACTGACTATTATTATATTAGCCGTCTCGGCTTTGCTGTGTTCTTTTCAATGAAAAGTGGAACTGTACTGATATATATAGTTTTATATACATTTTTATACATAGTTCCTAAAAGATATTAGTGATTCTAAACAAGTTTTCTGTAATTATTCAAGACAATCCAAGACAGCCAAAGCTATTTGTGGTTCACTACAGGAGAATAGAAACAGAACTGTATTACATGTAGATATAAGTATTAAATTAGTTTAGATAATATTCCAAGGAATCTGTGTACAGCTAGCCAGTAACTGTGATTAGACATTAAGAACTAATTTATTAAAATATTTAGGAGTTTATAAATAAGATCTTTGATATAATGTAAGTAGCAAGAATATTTAATATGCATACAGTTAGGTATTATAATTTATTAATAAAAAATATGAATATAATATTAATTTGATATTTTTATTTACTCACTATAATATTAATGTTGTGTGTTTACAAACATTATCAGAAGCAGTAAATGTGATTTGTTTTTTTAAATAGTTCGACTTAATTACTCGTAATTACACGGAAACAAAAATAAAGAAAATCTGTTTATTTGCACCGTTACAGAAATTAAACAAATATGCAATAAAAATACTTAAAAAAAACAGTACAATGAGACGTCACATCAAAAGCACAAAGTAAAAACTATAGATGTACATGACACATCTGCATTCTTTGGAATGTGATTAAAATTTGGAAGTAGTCATTACTTAATAAGATTACAACTTTTCACTGCTAAGCAAAGGTCTCTTCTGATACGGAGAAGATATGAACTACAATCACCATGCTCAAGGTGGATTAGCGGTTTCAAATTTATAGTTAAAAATTGTAATATGGAAGTAGAGTGTGATAGAAATATAATGTTATACGAATTAGCGACTACATGAAAACAATGATTTAGCATCACAATTATCTTGTGATTTAAATACTTTTGTTCATATCGATATGATTTGTTGTTGTGTAGCCACACCCACGCGATGTTGACATGTGATTGCTGTATGTACTTTGTAAACAAAATACTGCGGTACTGCGCCTGCGCTGTTACACCACTTAGTCGTGTGTTACTGATTTCTTTTCTCTTATCTTTAGGACAAGATTACCTAATGTTTGGGAAAATAACTATTTTGGTAAAGAGTGGAATCATAAATCACACACTTTAGCCCTGAAGGGGTAGACAGAGGTGTACATTACAAAACTTGATGTCAATGTACAATGTAACACCAACTTTTCACTTTTATAATTACGAGTCCCATATAATCGGTAGTGAGCATACTGCCATATACCGAGCACAATTCTTCATGACTTCATGCTACTACTGAGTATTTTTTTAAAACCCAGTAATACCCGAACCCGGGAATCGAACCCGGGACCTCTTGCCCGACAGTCGCACTGGCGACCACTCCGCCAACGAGGCAGTCTCAGCCCGTAGAATTATAATTATGAAAATCAATGCGGTATATGAATACCAATTAAGACAGGACACCGACCTTTTTTTCTTCTATTCTTATAATATCTTCTAATTTATTTCGTTGTGGGATCTAAGACAGTTAGTCATGTCCCTGAGATGTTCTTCAGTGTTCCGGTGTTTTCATGGTTATATCAACTGTATATCCTGGCTTACAGGAGTTGCAGCGGTTTTGGGAGGTTGTGGCGGGCTTGACTCATAAAAAACAAAAAGTTATAAACACGATGTCAAAGTTATAATGCCCTGTATTATTGAACTTTGAATAAAAGACGAAATTTTACTTAACACATTAACTGGAAACGTGGTCAATGTTGATTGAAGCTCGGAGAGGATATGCCATTAAAATGTTTGGTAGTTAATCCTAACGATGATACATCATAATATTAGCGCCAAATCATCTACTGCTGGACATAAGCAATGTCTCAATTTATGACAGTAGTCACTTTTGTATCAGTAATACATTAACCTATTTTGAAATCTTTGAAATTACCAAGAACAGTATCAAGATATAAACATGAAATCAAACCTCCAGTTCAGCATAAGTTCCCTGAATTCAACAATATTCCGATTGTAATTAAGCTAATAGTTGAGGTTGTAGTTGGACTGGTCAAGGAGTTCCATTCAATATCTCCGAAGTTTCCAAATTCGTGGCTTGGAAACCATAAGTTGGATGTTTGCAGTCGATCCTTTGCCAAATGATGTTTGAACACTTCAATGGGTATTGCTAAACGTGCTTTACCAACGGTAAGTTAAGTTCTCGTAAACTGATTGGTTTCTGTAATAGGTTTTTGATTGTATAGTATTGTGTTAAACAGATTACAAATTAAGTGTGGGAGAGCCATACTACGGCGAAAGTATCGGCTCGACCGATATGATCCCACGGCCCACAGAAAACCGATGTGAATTAACACTTGCGTTGAGTCTCGTCATGTGAATGAGGCTACCGGAGGCCCAATGACGCCCCCTGTCCAATATCTCCAATCTCCGATTTCCCAATGGTCCTCAAATTCCCAATTCCCAAAAGGCCAGTAACGAACTTATAACGCCTCTGGTGTTCCAGGCGTCTATGGGCGACACCGATTGCTTACCATCAGGTGATTTGTATGCTCGTTTACCGGTTTATCCCTTAAAAGTTTGTATGTCTGCAATACAGATACTGTTTTATAAAACAGTGTGAATGTACAGTATAGTGACGGTAGCAAGGAGTAAATATTTGGCTGAATAAAACAATCTGCTGATGATAAGCAAATAAAGTAATTAAGACGACTTATGCTATCAACTCCCTGGTTGCTTCGATGGTTAATGTGGTATAAGATATACATCGCGACTTCTAATCAAAGTGTCTTGGGTTAGATTCCCGGGCTGCGCTAAATATTATTGAGTTTTTCGAAAATTCTTTGTAGCGGTAGGAACTTTGTTTTACCAGTGTATTGCTCTAAGACTGTCTCATACGTTATATTCGCTAGTTTATTATTTTTTCGAAGTAACAGGTTTAAAATCGCTGAATAAAATTAAAAAATATAATAACACACAATATGACACGAACTAGGACTAAAACTCACGACAATCCACCAAGTATAAAAATTACATTTTTACATTTAATCGCATCCCTTCACTTAACGATTATTTTTTATTGAACTGCATTTCATTTAAACTTTAATTCATTTAGGCATCAAATATCCAAAACAAACACAGTGTATGATAAAAGTTTAAAAATAAATCGGTTCCCTAGACGCTGGTGTACAATGAGATATTTCGTATCACTAAGTTAAATACTAACTAATACCTGTACACTGATACTAATGTAATATTAAATATACATCACAACTTGTCACTCACAACTCAAAGTTATACTTTAACATTCAACATTGCACCCTAATGTCTAAATGATACAGGTTAATTTGTAATGTTAGTGTTAATTAGATAGTCATATTAATAAGTTTGAGTATCTCATCGTGGCTCATTCCTTGCCGAAGAGTGCCGGGAGGAGTCAAGATGACGGAACATAAAGAAAAAAGTGCGAGGAAGGGCTCGGAGGGACACGAAGTCAAATGTAAATATTGTATTTTTATTATTACTTTTCGTATAGTTACAAATTAAGAAAATTAAAGTCAAAAATCGTTACCAAAAAATATTTTGACAAAATATCTTAAAGCAATTACAATTATTATTACAATTATAAGAATATTACAAAGTATACAGAGTAATCAATAGGTGCTGTTTGCCGTAAACTGTTGTTTATCGTCTACATAATCAAAAACTCATTAAAGTAAACGGGTACTTAATAATCGCCCTGGTTTCGCCCTGGGCTTTCTACTGAAAGTGCTATACTGTGCTTAAAGCACACCGTGAAATACTATATCGAGCGTAAAACACCTGTGTATGCATGCTTCCTCGATTTGTCTAGGGCGTTTGATCTTGTAGGGTATAACCTTTTATGGGACAAGCTGAAAAGCATAGATTTGCCTCAGCAATTTGTTAACATCTTTCAATATTGGTATGAGCACCAGCTCAATAGTGTTAGGTGGGCGGGAGCAATGTCGGATCCATATCGACTCGAGTGCGGAGTGAGGCAGGGTGGTTTGACTTCCCCAACCCTCTTCAACCTGTACATCAACGGGCTGATAGCAGAGCTTAGTAGTCAGCATGTCGGCTGCCACATTGATGGTGTGTGTGTCAACAACCTAAGTTACGCGGACGACATGGTGCTACTGAGTGCTTCGGTGTGTGGTTTGAGACGGCTAATACGGACGTGCGAGGAGTATGCAGGTGGCCACGGTTTAATATACAATGTTAAGAAGAGTCAGTACATGGTGTTTGAGGCGGTGGGGGCGAGATGTCCGAGTAGTGTGCCACAGGTTAAGTTAAATGGTATCCATCTTGCTCGTGTTGACAGTTTTAAATATCTGGGGCATATACTCACCACGGACCTTAGGGATCATGCTGACATGGAAAGGGAGCGTAGGGCATTGTCTGTTAGAGCAAATATGCTCGCCCGTAGGTTTGCGCAATGTTCGAGGGGGGTAAAAGTTGCGCTTTTTAAAGCGTACTGTACTTCACTGTACTCGTGCAGCTTATGGGCTGATTATAGTCAAACTTGTTACAGTGCACTCCGCGTCCAATATAATAATGCGTTCAGGGCAGTGTTGGGGCTATCCCGTCGTTGTAGCGCGTCGGGAATGTTCATGGAGGCGCGCACTGACGGCTTTCATGCGACTATGCGTAAGCGAGCTGGCGCTCTCGTGCGCAGAGTACGGGCTAGTTCCAACAATGTCCTGGCAATGATAGCGCAGAGACATGATTGTCTCATAATTAGGAATTGCTGCGACAGGCATATTTCAGTGCATATACCACCGAGAGTGCTTTAGTATGTCTGTTTTAGTACCAACATACTGCATGTGTCTGTTTTCCGTGTGTGTATTTAATTTGTATTTGTTTTCTGTATTGTTTTGTCTGTTTAAATGTGCTTACTAACATATTTTTGTAAAGATGTTTCGTATTTTTGATTTTTGATTTTGTTACTAACACAGTGGACCATTGATGTCTTAAATAAATAAATGATTGATTGATTGAATAATAACATTTTGATATACTCAGGAAACAAGTACCTAACCAAAAAAAATTAAAATTATTTATTTGCACCGTCACAAAGTAGAATATCAAAAAAAAATATCGTTTACATCATATACGAAAACAAAAGTATTACTTAAGTATATCTACTTAACTGTGTAATATTAAAATAACACAAATGATGAACACCTCAAAGAAATAAAATCGAAAGCGTCACCCCCTGTAAGGACTAGTATCATTTCATTCTTTACCCAAAGAACCAAATATCAAATAACGTCGAATAATGTGATCCGCCTCCGTATTCTATTTTTGACACAAAATATATTACAATAGTCATTCAACCGGGGACTGAACCCAGGGGATCGATAATAAGTAGCGGAGTAAACAGTGAAAAACGATTACATGTTGTCCTATTCAAATAATGGTCGAAATATACTTACGTGTCGTGTCCTGTCGTGGCTACCACTGTGGCCCAATCGTCCGCAAGCATTTAGCGACTAGACGGAGCACTTGATGCCATTCGGCACCACTCGTGGATACCGAAAACACGAGAGGCGGCTTTTTAGTGCTGAGAGATTTGAGAATTGGGGAGGTTGACGAATGGGTTAACGGTGATTGACGAATGATAACCGATTACTCACGCGGCAAAAACAATGCAAGCATTGTTTTAAATCGATTTTCTGTGCCAGCTAATTCATGTCGAAGCAAAGCTCTTCCACACTTAATTTAATAGTGTGTAGTTAGTTTATTAAGTTAGTTAGTGTGTAGTTAATTTAATAATATTTCTAGTGGGTCACGATACGGCACGACACGTAAGTATGTCCGTCTTTATGGGATCAGCCCAAGAACCCGGCGACTACTTACTAAACTGCGGCGAGCGGTCAATGCCGACGTGATTACAATACCTACCCAGATTAATGTCTCTCTGATCTCGGTATTACTTACATTTTGTTTCCAAGGATCGGAATTGTTTTCATTATTGGTTTTTATTAAAGTAGAAAGATTGATTTTTGAAGAAAGATTATCGCGAGCAAAATGGATAAACAAAAGCTATCGCAGAAAATTGCAAAATAGCTATCACATTGAGAGTAATCCAAATTAAAACACAATTAGAAATCTATTTCGCTGAGCGCAGCTTATCGCCAGGGTAGTGCGGAACGTGCTTGGAGCACTGTACTCGGTAATTAAAAACTAATCGGTTCGTATCCTCTCATTATTATATCAATTTAACTATCAATTGCACATTTATATACTTCTAATATATTTTTATCTTAAGTACTACCACAGGGATGGATTTATCAAATGCGGGGCGCGTAGCAAATTTTATCGATCTTGACAACAAATTGGTCCCTTTATTTGTACGTATAGAGAATCATCAAATGACTCTTCTCGCCTTGAGTGAACCAATAAGGAATGTCAAACTCTTATTGACTAAAAACAATACCGTTCCATCCACTATCGGGGCCGCGATATAAGATAAGGGCATTAGGAAGGATTTTTAGTTTTGAGACCTGTAAGATTTAAACTGTCAAACACCAAGCGGTCACCGGTGACCGCGACCTATTGTTCTTTAATTGTGTCTATAAAACCGGTACTCGACGAGTTAAGCGGAGATGACTTTGTTTAAGCGGGTCCCCCTGTTTGTGCAGGACCCGCAACAAATACTATCCTTACTACGTATTGAATCCGGCACTGCACTGTCATGAATGCGTTAATTTATGTAGATTTTATCGGCAGCGCGTACAATTGTTGCATTATGATAAACTTGAATGCGTTCTGTCACTGACTTATTGACACAATGAAGTTAACACTGTATCTGTATCTAGGATGCTCTGACCTCGGTTGATGTGTTAGCTATTTTTACTTTAATTGTTATTCATTAAACGATACCACCCAGGAAATTAGGGGACATTGACCTTCTATTTTGTATCGAATCGATTATTAGTAGTTTATCAATATTGAATTCAATTTCGAGATTGAGGGGGCTTTTTGTCACATTGATTGATTCAGTAGTTACATGGGCAATTATCAACCACATATGAGATATTGGAATCATTTTTAGGCTTACACAATACGCTTTGCAACTTTTAAATAACATTGGTTCTCAAACTGAAGCTGTTGTATTGAATTAGGGTGTCCTATCCTTAAGACAATCCATTTAAATCTTAGAAAAAAGGTGTATGATATTCATGTGTTCCAAAAACAACTTCATGTTTCCAGACCATGGGTTTGGCGTTCGGCACGTGCAGATGATCTGCATGTCATTCTCCATGATAGCGCTGTTACTGGCGCGCAGCAGTATGGGGGTTGCCATCCTTGCCATGACAGATGTTAAACACCATAACGGATCCACAGCCGAGGTAATTTCTGTGATTATTGTTCTGACGATCAGACTCGACGAGTAGATCATTATAATTTGTAATTAAATTGATGGTGATTTTTGGAAAGATAATCAGACAGTATTGGTCGAGATCTTCTATTTGTGATTTATCTATCTTCATCATCAACTGAAAGACGTCTACTGTCGAACAAAGGTCTTGCTCTTAGTCTAGTCACGTAGTCGTTAGTCAAAAATGTCCGTTTGCATGACTAGTAGCATTTTGACATTGGTTTTAAATGATATCCAAAATCAACAAACTACCATCGAAACAACCCTTGAACAAAGTAATGAAGGAAGATAGCAAATACACGTGACATTGCTCAAGTTATCGACGCAATATCTATCTATTTATAGTACTCGTCGCGTCGCATAAAAGTACAAATACCAAATCTACGTGAGACAGTACGACAGAGCGATAAGTTTATTATTAAATAAGCAAACAAATATTATGTGTACAAATGTCTTTGTTTAAGGATCCTTATCGCATTATTACAATACATGTGATCTTTTATACATTTTTCCATTAGCATCACACCATTTTTGTTGTGGAAAAATCCTTAATGTTGTATCTATGAGACGAAAAAGAAGTATTTTATCTTTTTAGGAATGATTGAGGATTGTTTCGTTGGTCACAAGCGCAACCGCTAACAAGGAGTTCTTGATCTCATCGCCGTCGGTCTCGTGTCCGATTCCTTGGACCAAGTATTATTTAGCTTTTGTCGGTTTCCGATTGATTAATTTTTCTTGATTAATTAATTTGTTCTGATGAATTTACATGATGTGTTATTTGTTAGCGGTATTTTTTAATTAGAGACAGGGCAAATATTTCAGTTTACTACAAAGTGTAATTTTAACTTCAGCACTTACATACATACTCACACCTAAAACTTTGCTACCAGGTGTACGAATGGGACAAAAAGATCCAGGGTCTGATCCTATCATCGTTCTTCTGGGGCTACATGTGCATGCAGGTTCCAGCCGGAGTGTTGGCGAAGAGGTTCGGAGGCAAACCTATTCTACTGGTAGCACTGCTGGCCAATGGATGCTTGACTGGACTCTTCCCCGTGTTAGCTGGTTTGGTAAGTTTCATTGTAAACCTTCTTTGTAAAAAAATATCGTGATACGTTTCAAATTATATAGAATATGCGGCTTATTCACTATTTGAGAAATATTCAACGAGTTTCAAGTGACATCGGTACTCTTAAGGTCATCCTACATTTAAAAAGCTCGGTTGGGGCGTGGCGTCGGCGCGATGACCGTGCGCCAACGCCTCGCCGATGCCGTGCTGGCGGCGCGCCGTAAGCACGTGGGCGTCTCGACTATACCTCGAGTGGACAGCGCGCTGACCACTTGCCGTCGGCTTTTTGTATTAACGTTACGAAATGTATCATATGACATACGATTTAAAGTTCATAACTTTGCTTTATTTTACTCAAGTGTACGCGGTGATTAATTTTATCTCAACTTGCAGAATTCCTTCATGCCCACGACTAACAACGCTTGTAATAAAACTAAAATAATATATCGTATGCAGGCGACACAATATTTCAAAATTACCACACAACATAACATTTTATACTCATAAAAGTTATGCACATCACATAATGTTGTAACGATTCATACTGCAAGCTAGTTGTATACCGTCTATGCTAATATAATAAAACTGGAGTTTGTTTGTTTGTACGCGCTTTTATACAGCTTCGGAAACAACTTGCTATAAAGTTTGTTGTAAGAACATACGAGAACTTGGAAAGTAAAGAATAATCTCGTATGGATGTTAATATTAGAACTGCTTCGTCTATAAACAACCTTAGAGGTATGTTACCAAAATTACGCATTTCTTAATGAGACTGAATTCCGGTCCCTTTTGAAGTCAAATCCAAAATCATTTACTTCAATTAGATCAGAAAGGCCCTTTTGAAATTCAACAAAAAATTAAGAAATTAGCTATTTGCCCATTCTAAGGTGTAGAACCTATGGTGAAGAACGAGCAAGAAACTCCATAGGTTACTATTTTTCAATCAGGTTCACAATACAATTCTGTAGTTACATAGTTTTGTTAGTTCAATTCAATCGATATAACTTGATAGACCCTTTCCATAACTAAGAAACTAATTGAATAAAGTTTGGTGACGGTTGTGACAGATATGAATTTCAAATCAAGTTTGTAGTGTTATTGATTGCTACATATATGTCTAATTGTTTATGTTCCAATAGAAACTCTTCGTGACTACTTGGTGAACTATAGAAGACATGACAATTATTTCGAGCAATGCAGTCACCCCTGTTACTTGATAAAATCGATTTAAACTGTCAAAGACCAAGCGGTCATCGGTGACCGCAACCTATTGTTCTTTAATTGTGTCTATAAATACGGTACTCGACGAGTTAATTTGGTTTCTTTTATTTACCAAATCTATTTTAATTTTAAATACTTGTAAGCAAATACAGGTAAATAATATAAGATCTATTGTTCCAGGGTGGTTGGCCATTAGTGTGCGTGACACGTGTGATGATGGGGCTGACGCAGGCGTGTCTGTTCCCGGCCAGTCACACGCTCCTCGGCAGGTGGCTGCCCACCAGCGAGAGGACGACTTATACTGGAATCGTTTACTCAGGTAAAAGAGAAAAAGTGGAGATAGAAAGTAGGAAAGATAACTGAAACTAAAACTGAAAAGAAATCACCTTTTTTAAGAAAGCTCTTGCTGTTACAACCTAACATAGTTATGTTTTGTATTCGCCATCATCATCAACTGTCTCATCTCTTCTCACGTGGAGAAGGTTTGAGCATTAATCACTATTCTTGCTAATGTTTTGTATTGTAGACAGTCAAAGCTGCAAATAACCATTAAATCATTAAAAATGGGAGCTTTTTACAAAAAAATATAAATCATACTGTTACATTAATTAATTATCTTCCAATTTTACCTTCGCTACTAGGGTCTAATAACACGCTAACAATAAAAATCTCGTTCAACAGGATCACAAATAGGCACAATAATAGCCATGCCTCTATCTGGCTATCTATCAGAGACGGCATTAGGTTGGAAGATGATCTTCTATGTAACTTCTGCCATCATGTTCCTGACGGCAGCCATGTGGTACTGGTTCTCTGCCAGCAGTCCTGGAGAGCACTCCATGATGACTGAAGAAGAGAAGAATTATATTGAAATGGGACTTGATACTAGTAGTGAGTCAAGAGTGAGTATTTTATACCTTCTGACACACACTGATATAAGAAATTTGAATAATACAAAAGCATTCATTCAATCTTATGAATAGTTATACCATGATTGTAAAGGACTTATCAATAATTTAGGTTTAGATAGTTGTTCATTCATTATAATGTTCTTTCCAGCAAAGACAGGCTACACCTTGGCGTGAGATATTCCGCACTCCAGCGCTGTGGGCAATCATGGTGTCCCACGTGGGCGGCAGTAGTGTCTTCATCTTATTCTTCGTGGATCTCCCCACTTACTTGGAAAGGGGCATGAATATTTCACTGAGAAATGTATGTACTTAAATAATCATATTTGTATGCCTTGTTAAAAGCTTTAAGGTATTATTTTCCTTTTTGATTTTATTTCAGCTTCATTAATCAGGTTCAAAGACTTTTTTATTTTCTTAACGATCTCGTTATCAGACATTAATGGTAACGTACTCAGCATTTTCATCAGTTTTTTAATCAGAGGCCTCGTGTGTTAACTGTGTACTCATTAACTTGATGTACTTAATTCCAGAGTGCCACATTATCAGCGTTACCGTTTGTGGGTATGTGGGTGGGTTCGATTGGTTCGGGTATCATCTGCCAGAAGATTTATAACAAGGGCTGGCTGCCATTGGGAGTTTGTAGGAAAATATTCAATTCATTAGGTAAGTAACTATAAATTTTATACGTTAATAAATTAGAGTTATACTTTGTACTGCTTGATAACTTGTTTGTAGCTTTCCGCCTGCAGCTCAACTCAAGATATTGAAACATTCATAAATGATTTTAGTCTTCGTAAAACAACATACTTTGTACTGGTCTTTATCAAAATCTGTTCAGTAGTTTGTAAGTTTATCGCAGACAGATAAAAAGACGTAGCTTTCTTTTGTTTAGTACATTCTTGTGTTATTCTATTGTATACTTTTAAATTATGTAACTAAGGAAATTGTCTCTCATTTCCAGCCCTAGTTGGAGGAGGCATCGGTATAATATGCCTCGCGTTCCTGGGTCCTGACCATAAGAACATAGTCGTCGGGATCCTGGTCATGGTGTTTTTCTTGTTTGGATTTATCTCAGCCGGTTTTATGGTAAATAATTATTTATTATAGAGACTGACAAACAGACTTTCTTTTCCAAATATGTTCGTTCATAAATCAGTTCATAAACAGATAAAACAAGCTTTCTAAGTACATACATTTTACCCATGTTTTAAAACCTGTTCATTTCCAGGTGAACCACTTGGATCTATCACCGCAGTTTGCTGGCGTGTTGTTGTCTTTGACGAACTTCGCTGGAGGTATTGGAAGCATCCTCACTCCAGTAGTAACCAGCTATATATTAAGAAATGATCCAGTAAGTAGAACTAGAACCAGAATGTTACTTAAGACTAGGTGTATTTTTTGCGTCATTAAATACGTTTTATTAGGAATTCGATTGGATATTATTTTAGTCTTACTCTGTATTTATTTGTTAAAATAATTAGGGAAAATTAGATGGTATAGTTACGTGTTCCTGGTACGTCAGCTACTCACCTATGACAAGTTCTTCCTACTCAGTTCAGCAGCTTACAGTTTAAATTCCAAATTACTGAATAACGAGCCACATCCAGTAATTAACTATTCCCTATTACTGTGAAGTTATTTTATATTCAAAACAAACAAACAAGTCCAGGTGCGGATGTGGCGAGCGAATCGGATATGAATTGTTTATGTCTCATACGAATTTGTTTTTGTAAATGGCAACAATATAGAACTCACGATACGTTTGAATTTAGATGTACCTATGGATAATTTGAAATATGCTATAGTTTCTCCTTTATTAATGTCTGTACTTGGTTAGTATATTTTTTAATATTTTATATATAAAAAGCAGTACCCCACCATTGACGGGCGAAATCCAAGCTACGGCCAGGGCTCCAGACGTAGGAATTTCCGGACAATACGTGCCGTGTCCAGAAGTACTGCTTTCTGCATCAGGCCATTGACCCAACCATCTAACGTTAGCCTACTCAGATGTTGGTCGAAACTTTTAGCTATAAGACAATTGACAGATACGACTATCGGCACAATGATTGCTGCAATAACTCTGATTGCTTTATGGTTTTATTATTACTTGATTAGGTAATATCGAATATTTTTCTCATCCCAGGAATATCATGTAGGGAACCTAGTTCAGATTAAAGAAATATTAAATTGAAAAGAGACCGTGATCCCTAGAGATGTTTCTTTGGTATGTTTTTTAGTACTAAGTTTATTAGTCTTAGAACGTACTAGGGTCTAGAAATGCCGTCAGTAACAAATAAATTATTTATTTTCAGTCGGACATCAGTCGTTGGAGGATTGTGTTCTTACTGTTTGCCTCTTTGGGTATCGGTACCAACCTTATCTACGTCATATTTGGGAGCTCCGAGCGACAACCCTGGGATAGTCCTGACTATAAGGATAGAAGGAAAGCCGATCCAGGTAACATGAACATAATAATTGTCATAGTTCTTGATTTCCAAAGCAATAGGCTGTGGTGCACACGGTTCATATTAGTGTTATATCCATTTTGACCAGTTATTTTATGATACAAACTTCAACAGATAATATTTGAAAGTTGAAAATGTAGTAAGATTATTTTCAAATCCGAAACTAATACTGTTATCGTATGGCAGTTGCGTCTGTAACCATTTGGTTAACGACAAACATATCCAAATTACAATACCATTGTAAATGTTTTCCAAGTAAAAATCCCAATATTTCAACCTAATTAATTATTTGTTAAGATGAAAAGGATTGAAAAGGTCTTTAAGAATTCTTATTTAGAGTTTACAATTAATACAAACAGAAAAGTGACTTTAACCTTTTATTTGCAGAGGAAATGGCGCCGGTATTGGATAAGAAAGTTGAGAAACAGTTAGAAGTTAACAAACAGCAACTATAGATATCTACTTAACCAATGGAGATTGAAAAAGTTTACAAACGCAGTTTCTACGCAACTTAAGATGTTGTTAATGGACCAGCAGCTGTAGCCAAATGCCATTTAGCGCTTATCTACATGTAGAATAGAAAACGAAATTATATGGAATTGACGTAAATTTTGACACTGGTCAGTGTCATCCTCATACATTTTGATGTCTACTCTCTCTGTAGACAAGCGCTAAAGTGGCGTTTGGCTAAAGGCCCTGGTGACAAGAATTTAATAAAATATTAGATCATAATAAGGACAGTCCTGCTCTATACAGGTCGTAAACAGAACGCCGCTAAAAAGTCGACAGGTGATGGTGAAAAACTAGTTCTATTTCCATAAAAGTACGGAATTGAATGTTTATTTCATGTAGTAACTAGCTTCTGCCCGCGACTTCGTACGCGCAATCCCATTTCCCCCCGTTCCCGTTCGTGATTTTCGGTAAAAAGTAAAAAAAAAAGTATTTTATAAAAAGCATCCTATGTCCGTCTCCTGGTTCTAAGCTACCTCCCTGCCAATTTTCATCTAAATCGATTGAGGCGTTCTTGAGTTATAATAGTGTAACTAACACGACTTTCTTTTATATATATAGATAGTTATAATCAGCTGTTAAAGGCTGATGTTGCATGGATAACATGAAAACAAAAACGATTAAAATTAACTAAAAATCGCGGGTTACTCACGTCCATATATTGAGAAAAGCTCTAGTAGTTTCGAACCACAGAGGGGTCCTAGTTCTTCTAGTACACTGCGCGAAATTGCCGCGACCGTGCACGCTACTCATGAGGAAAAACCCCTCTGTGTAAGAGTAGAGCTTTTCTCTGTATATTCACGTGAGTAACCCGCGATTTTTAGTTAATTTAGTTAAAAATCTATTAAAATTGAAAAAAAAAATCTTTTTGTCAGTGTTTCCGGAGCGTTCTGTTTACATCATGCAAAGTTCAGATTAAGGTAGAGATCAGAGCAGGCAACAAATATTATTAACTATTTTAAACGTGTGTTTTCTGTTTCTTTACGTACGAAGTAGTCATTATTATCAGCTGAAGAAGGTCCTCTGATGAACAGTTGGGTAGTTAAGTTAGGCAGTCGCCAAATAGTATGGGTATTTTATATCCATATAAAAACGTAAACGGTTGTAACTCAAAGAGTAAAAGTGTTTTAAACTACTTAAGACCAAATTATATTCACTGTACATTGTGTATACACTGACTTCCAATTATTATGGAAAGTATTTTAAAAAATGTGTGACTGAGACAGAACGTCTTGATATTATGTACTGACTAAGTTAATTTCATTTCATTATACGTAGATCTGTATGTAGTATAGTGTTATGCTAGTCCTAATTTTAGAGCCGCCATATTGTGCTGTTGTCACAGAAGTACAAAACATTTAGACGTCGCAGTAGCTTTTATTATAGACCTTATTTCGTTTGAAATAAAATACACGTTAGTTTTAAAGTGAAGTGTGTTTGTAGATAGAATTAAAAGTGAGTTGCGTCTGGATGATAGTGTTAATGCGTGGCTGTGGCACAAAGAGGGTAGACACATTAATATAATTGAAATGAGAGCATTTGTTCACTGCGGCCATATAAACTAAAGACTGTAATTCTAGGAAAAACCCTCTCACAAATCTATGTATTGTTACTGGTTTTTTTCTACAGATACTTATAATAAAAGAATTTTTTATAAAATGTGATCCAATGTATGAGTAATGGTGGCTCGGTAGTTTAAGACATATGCTTCTCATGCATGAGGGCGTGGTTTCAAAAACTACCAACGGCAAGTAACAATGTGACTTTTGATGATCAGGGATGAACAGGGAAAAGTCAACAAACGATGAAGGAAAACATCGTGAGTAAATCTGGGCTTATAATTTCGAATTATAAGTGTGAAATCGCCAACCTGCATTGAGCAAGCGTGGCGATTAATGCTTAAACCTTCTTCGTATGAAAAGAGGCCTTTGGTCAGCATTGGGAACTTATAGGCTGTTGATGTGACGTGCTGCATTGCTTAGTCACAGATTTTATCAATGTGTCGATTTACATTTGTGCTAGATAATGTTTGTATGTGTATGGTTGTTGTAGACATAAGTTAGCAATAAGTTAAACTATTGTAATTATTTGGATGTGGTTTTTGTACAGAACAATAAAATGAATCGAAGATAATAAATATTATTATACTAACGACGTCTTTTTTAATTCCTATTAGGTAGATAGTCTATTAAAATTTTCTTCTGTCTCTTATTAAGAATAATTTAATGGGCTTCAATTAGAGGGCTGATAAAGGCTAATTAATATTTACTTATTTAACTAACTGGGTCAAGACAAGTGATCAAGTAATTTAAAAACTAAAGTAAAGGCAAACTAGTACTCACTCATTTTGTTTTTGTTAGAGTTTACTGAACCCTGTAGCATTTTTCTAACACCTAGAACATCAGTTGGAGTTGAATGAAAATTGAGACTACTGTACTTTCTATCTATACAGATAAATAAAATTTGTGTGTCTCTTTGTAATATTAAAATAACCGCTTTTTACTTTATGCATATGAATATACATAAGATACCAGTACAATTTTTTTTACGATTTTTGTCTGTCTGTCTTCTGTCTGTTTGTTTGCTAATCTCTGGAATGGCTGGACCGATTTTGACAGAATTATTATTGGCAGGTAGCTGATGTACTAAGGACTAAAGGATAAAACTATTTTTATTTTGAAAAAAGAAAACAAAGAAAGTTACGCGGACAAAGTCGCAGGCAACAGCTAGTCTATCATAAGGCATCGTGACTTCCTAAACGAGAAATACATAAATGTGATAATTAACAAATATTCTGTTTCACTATCTTGATCACATAATTAATGTATTATTTAATTAAAAAATATGTAATTAATTTTAATTAATTAATGAATGAACAATTAATAAATTATGTTACCTATAATTAGGTGCACGGTTTACGTAGTGACTGGACAGTCGAATGTCTTTTAGTATGTCACTGGTTCGATTGCCGTACGGAACTACTTTTAGTGTGATCCATAAATCATTGTTTCAATTCTGTGTGTGGTGTGTATGTGAAATTATGTGTTTGGAAACGAATCAAACGATACAGGATGAACCTCCGTATCAACACCATCATCGTCAGCCACCACAAGACGGCCGCTGCTGAACATAGAACGTCCAATGACTTCCAGATAGGCCACTTTAAGGCGAACTGCACCAAGCAGATCCCTGCATAACCCCAGTGTGAACCCTATATAGCAAAGAGCTAAGAAATGTTCTAGCAACTGGGACATTGGATGTGGGAGTACCTAATCGATATCCAAAAGATAATTAATTCAAAGATTATCAGCTACAAAGTTATCAGAAACAACAGAAGGCAAGTTATAGTACCTCAATAAACAAAGCAATAACTCCTCGATCTCTAGACAAACTGGTTTGTTTTGTTAACCCTGGCTTAGAGCCCTAAGTCACGGGTAATCTGATAAATTGCTAATATAATAATAATGTAATAAGTCATGTAAAGTTTGCTAACTGCTTCATTCGCTGAGAATTTCGAAAATCCCGTTAATAATTTGCTCTATCTGAGAAACACCACCACCAAAATATAATAATGGAGTTAAAAAGACGAAAGGTATATATGCAGCTCACAATGATGTTATTGAAATCGACCTCTAAGAAATAATTAAATTTTGAAATGGTTGCTAATAACGGACAACAGCTTTAAGCATATATACATATCGCATTCTCTTGCTCTGAAAAAAAGGAGGATAGCTGATCGTTTCATCTCCATTAAGTTTAAAAAAGACGATCCTGATCTATACTACTTCTTCGACTGATGGAAAGACTTCATATTTACATAGGATTGACGTTGTACTTTTGTTCCCCACCACTTTATAGTAGGAAAATTCACTGAAGGTTGAATTACGTGAATAGTGTGAGTGCCAACTACCGCCGCGTACTTCCCGCCGCGTTCTGTCTGACACGCTTCTTTAAATACCTTCCAACACTGTCTCATTTACAATTCATTGAACCTTTCAAATTCTAATACAACGAACTCCATTTACTCCTTGAAACGATGTGTCAAAATATATTTTTATTCTTGTACTGACGTGACGTCGCGTACATTCTCCTGAGCCTTGTTCGACGTCATTCCGTGTATTTGTCACGCATCACGTCTGCGGCTAAATCACAAGTTACACACACTCCACTAAATAGAACACACTTTGACATTCTGAATTGAAACCATTTAACATTGAAAATTGAGTCTTGATGAGACGTGATGAAGTACAATATTTATCGACGCCAACAAACTTTTAGAGATAGTTTTGTTTACGTACGAAATCAGCTTTATTTACTAGAAGCTAACAGTTTATTGTTTCAGTAATAGTCTGTGAGATAACAAAGATAATAGATAGATGTAAACATATTTTTTCAGTAACAGTCTATGTTAGAGAGCGTTGTTGTAATTTGATTTTAATTTGTAGCCGTACAAAATGGACGTCGAGTTTCTAAGATATCAGTTTGAAGATGGTTACTATGGAGTTATTACTAAAAATGGTAAGTGATCGAAAGTATCAAATCAAATCAATCAAATCAAAAATGTTTATATTCTAAAATACGGTACAAAAAGTATTACAGTTCAATTTTTTCCAGCGTATCCTGCCATATAAGGCGTGCAAATTTATTTAATTTATACACACATCTTTTTCGTCTTTACATTTTGTAATTTCGGTTCTTTATACCTTTTTTTCTTTCATGTTACTTTATCTCTCTCTGAATCAAAAATGTTTAGCAATACCGTTGGAAAAACTTTACTCCAATGTTAAACTTGATGTCAAGAATGAAACCAAGGACAATAATTGATAACGTTTAATCTAATAGTATGTGGTGTTTCTTCCCCAGGGTTCAAGATTGGAGTCCGGCACATACAGATGATGTACATGCTGGCGAGCGCCATTAGCATGGGGTTCATTAGGGGTAGCATGGGGGTCGCCGTGCTCGCGGTCATAGACCCAACGAGGAGAGATGATACTTATATAAAGGTAACTTACTACATCATGTGAAGGAAATATGGAAAACAATCAAGGAAATATCAAAAACCCCTTATCCTAAATGTACCGCTTAGAACTCTACAGGTATTGCAAGTATCGATGAGGCAAAGATTGTTTACCGTCTGCTCGTTTGCCACCATAACTTATAAAAAAAAAACAATTAAAAATAATAAGTTATTGGTAAAACAATCAATGACTTGATTTCTTTATATTTCATTTTGTTCCATCTGATAAGAAACCCTCCATCGTTCTAAAATTTGTGTTGTTGTAAGTACCTGCTTTAAAACATTTAGACTTAATAAACTTTACCAGACCAACGCCAGACGTAATCACATATTATCATAAATAAAAATGTGTGTCAAGTCGCAAAAACAAAACATGAGTAAACAAACACACACTTTTTATCACTTGTTTATTTACACAAACCTGAAACTACGCACTTTTAGTACATTTTACTAATCCTCACATAATTTCTTTTGTTTTCAGATCCACAACTGGGACGGTAAAATCCAAGGTTCAGTACTATCATCATTCTTCTTTGGGTACGCGTTAATGGTGCTGCCATCTGAGCTGTACCTGAGAAGATTTGGTGGAAAACTGCAGACGACTGTCATCCTCTTGATCAATGGTGTGCTGTGTGTGGCGATGCCTACTATAATTAACAAGGTATACCTACATGATCAAGAAACAACTTGGTTTGTTGGTCGATTGGTCAAAAGAGTTCTTTGACCAGATTGAAGTTTCTGGCTCAAACAAGCTGCTATGACGCTATTACAAATTAAAATTTTTTCTCTTCTGTATCCTACCTATTATAGGTATCGACCTCCTTCATGAGATGTTTTTATATCATTATCATATCTTTTTATTTATCTTCTCCAGGGTGGTTGGGTAGCCGCGTGCAATGCTATGCTGTTTATGGGGATGACACATGCTTGCTTCCACACCGTCAACCGATCTCTCTTCGAGCAATGGATGCCGCCCAATGAGAGGAAGATATTCAGCTGTCTAATTTATGGAGGTAAATACATGTCGCACACGAGTACTTAGTTGGTTTCTAAAACAACTAATTCACTAATCAAATATCACATAGAGTTTGTTTATTATAAAGTTACTTATAAAATTACATAATATGCCAACCGAGATAATTCTAAAACCATTTTCAATTCGAAGCAAGTTTTCAGTCCACCACAAACTTTAATTTAATAAAATCTTAATATACATTTAGTAACAATTTTCTACGTTCCTAATTAATTCAAAAATTAAAATACGTCTATTATAAGTCCATGTATTACTTAGTATGCATAGCCTGGTCGTATAAAAAGACAATTCTCTTACAATACTCGTGCACTCTCCTCCCCCAAGCTGTACCTCCCATGCATACTAATTGAATTAACACATTAAACAATTTTTACTTACCATTTTAAGACCTCTGCGTTATTTTAGTCAAAATACTTTCCTTAATGTTTTATCATCAAAAGATTCGAACATAAAATTAATTAGCCGGGTCTATAATTGTATTTTCCTTTTTTATAATTAGACACAATTAACAACAGGTTTGTGAAAAAAAGTATCAAAACATTCTAATTAAAAAATACACATCACAATTTTTAATGACATTTTCCCATGATCCACTTCATCAACTGTTCCCTACCTCTCTAATCAAGACCCTTCATACTCAAGATGATGTTGACACTGATTCTTATCTACAGCTGACAGTACTTAATGATGGCTACTAGAGATTTTATTTAAGTATCTTAATTTTATTTATCCTCCTTTTTGACTGTTTTGTTATTCTCTCGTAAAATTTTTTGACCTGACATAGTATTTAAAGTTTCAAAATATGTTTAGCATTCTTATTACATAGTTCTAAGGCTAAAAGCTACTATTTGACTATTTCGAATGTAATATTATTATTTAAATTGTTTTCCTTTTTCAAATCCCTAGGTGTTCAGATAGGAATAGTCACAGCTCTCCCGATATCTGGCTTGCTCTCATCAGCTCCGCTGGGTTGGGAGCTAGTGTACTACGCCCTGGCTATGCTGGCACTTTCTATGGCTATCATATCTGGTACTCTGACGGCCAGCTCACCAGGAGACCATCAAGCTGTTGGAGACGCTGAGATGGAGTTCATCAAAAGCACTCTGATCAATTATAAAAAGGTTATAAAACATGTAATGCATATTTTTATTTTGGAATAAAAAGAGATAAAAACAAAAGAAAGCAAGAAAAAAAATTTTCTTTGCACAAACAAACCAACCAATAACATAGGTTTTTGTTTTTTTTTACAGAAAGAAATAAATCGTCCATGGAGAGAGATTCTTAAGTCAATGAGATTCTGGGCAGTGGCAGGCGCACACGCATCTAGTAACGCAATCTTTGTCTTCTTCATTGTACACACACCGTCTTATTTGATGACATATGGATTATCTTTAGAAAATGTAAGTATATATAAATACTATACTACTATATACTGCAAAACTTGCTTAAGATAGCATGCAACAATTTTAAGTTCTTATTGTTATTAAACAAATAGTGAGTGTAGTTTTGATGAAGGACTAAGTGACAAACAAACAACTTGTAGCAAAAAGAGTTCCTCTTAAAGAACTGTTGTTGGCTTAAAGTTTCCTTGGAGATTGTAAGAGATCATAAAAAGACTGTCTTAAGACAAAAATAATGGGAAAAGTTGAAGATTTTACGCATAGAGTCGCTGAAAAAAACCATAAAACTTGACAAAATTTAAACCAGTTCCGTGTCTAATTTTAGAGTGCGTGGTACTCGATGTTTCCATTCATCGCGATGGCAGCCACTTACACAGTGCTGAGTCCGTTCATCGACTGGGTCTACACCATACGGTACATCCACTACATCTTCAGTGCCAGCTTCTTCAGGAAACTTATTAATGGTTTAGGTACGTATTGCAACACCTTAAAATTGTTTGGAATGAAGGATACGTACTGTTCATACTGTTAAATTATGAAGTCCTTATAACATAATATAACTAGTTTCAAGAAATAATGTACAGTAATCGAATCCAATTAAATAAAACTTAAGACTAAACTTTGGGCAGTTAATTAAAATTTGACAGTAACACTTGGTTGTGCAACCAGTGTGATTGAAAATCGCTTAAATCAACAAAATAAAAAAATCGATTAAGTTTACCATTAAAATATTGAAAACGAAGTATAGTAACAATAATAATACACTTAGCACGAACATGGAAATATATTACCAACAACGAGTAAAAAATTTATTATTTGCTCATTAGGCGCGCCCGATCATGTGAATGAATATTTAATCTCGCTTCTACTGCCCTTATCACTAATGAATTACATTTTACGTCGAATAAAATATTCCCTTTGTGATAAAGGGAATATATTCAGGAAACTGATGATATTACTTTCAGTAATAATTTAATATCTGCTAATTAATCTCGCAGGTGCTTTTGGTATCGTAATGGGATTGACAGTGCTCCCAAATTTTCCGCGCGAGTGGTCCTGCCCAGCGATACTCGTGGTTACAGCTATATTGGCGCTACTCGGTTTCCAGTTCTGTGGATTTTTGGTTAGTTAATGAAAATTTTAGAAATGTTTGTGTGTTTATTTTTTAATAGAATTTCCAGTATACCCATGTAAACAAATTTTCGAGAATGTTTAATTACTTCGAAATCACACTAGGACGTAAAATAAATTATCGCACGTTAACGTAGCTTACGTTTATGAGCCCTGGTGTGGCACGAAAGTAGTCGACCGTCCTCGAAAGAGTTCATATGTATTTAGTTCGCCTTATAATTGTATGAAATATAAAACAACTTCACATAAAATTACGTACGTTTTAAAAAAAGATTTTTAAGATTTTAAGTAGCTACCTAGCTTGAAAAATATCTGTTTAACGTTTCAATAAATAACGTACTGTTCATGTTTTCTTTAATAATTCACGTGTGAATATTCTTTTTCCAGAGTACTTACAAGGATATGTCAGAGAACTATTGCGGCACGCTGATGACCATCTCCTGTACTGTCAGCAGTGCTGTGGGGGCTGCTGTACCGTTCGTGGCTGGACTCATACTTGGCGATGATATGGTAAAAAATATATCATTTTGAGTACTATATAACTAGCTACAATTAGGTTTAATTTCCAAAATTACGCTAAAATTTATCCAATGCTGACAGTGAGCTAACACTTAAAACTCAATTGTTATTTTACTAAGCCTCCGGGTCACCTCGACACCAACATCTTAACAAAGATACAATATAGTGTTTATTGGATTTCTAACATAAACGGCCTCAAATAAGTCCGTATTTTTCTAAATACCATAAATAAATATACATATTTACTAAACATGTAGAAAGGATGGATGAAAGTAGAGTAACGAAAGAAGTATACAGAGCGAACATGAATGGGGCTGTCGGTAGAGGGCGCCCTAGACGAGCATATAGTGACCAGATTGGCGATATATTAAAGAAGGGCCAAATTAAAAGTCCCCTAACCGACGTAAATGCATGAAAAGATTGATGAATGTTAATGAAGCGAAAGAGGTATGTTAGAATCGTAGTAATTGGCGTTCTCTAGTCTCTGCCTACCCCCATGGTAGACAAGCATGAAGTTATGTATGTATGTATGTACTAAACATAGAAATAAATATTGACAGTCGAACGTGGAGAACTGGCGCGTGATAATGCTGAGCCTGGCCAGCTTGCACATGCTGAGCTCAGTTATTTATACGACGTGTGCGAGCAACGAGCGACAGCACTGGGACCACATCAATAACCACGATAAGCACCGGTTGGGGCACTACAATGGAGTTATGGGTAGGTACTCACTATAGCTGTTATACCTGTAGAACTATCTAGATAAATATGAACTAAATATCTGCCTAGCTACTTATGAAGTTGTACGTGTTTATGTCCATAGTGTACTTGGATATAAATAACTCTATAAAAACGTTCATACAATTGAGAATATAAAAAAGCATATATACGGTCGAATTGAGAACCTCCTCCTTTTTTTGAAATCGGTTAAAAACAGCTATTATTGTTCAAATATTCTTTTAGACGGTTAATCAATAACCATTAACTGAACTGATTTTTCGCACGAATATAATGTAGCACCCACTTTTTACTATTTATGTTATGAGTCCTATTGCTTACATTAAGTGTTATAATGTGCACCTTAACCTACCTCTTCGGGGATAAAAGTCGTGATGTTTTGTTTAGAAAAAATATTGGAAAATGTAAAAACCGTAGAGTAAAATTATGTAATTTATTATAGGATAAAAATTACAAAAAGTTTGTAGTAACGTTACACGTTATAATGACATTGTTTCCATCTGACGAGCAGTGACTTTATCTCTACTCTTTTTTTAAATCCAACACTCCTTATTTTAGTCAGGTAATAAAACAGTGTGACGTGTGATTTCGATAAATTTCAATTATAAAAATAATAAAACCGTCCTCAGTACGAACAGATATTAAATCAAAATTTTAATTTGAAAAGATTTATTAAAACCGTAAATTGCCATAGTAAGTTTATTATTATACCTAATATAATGAAAAATGGCTCAAAATAAAATTCCATTTGGTAATTGAAAACTAATACAGTATGAATTATTATTCTCATAGTGAAAAGTTTTCATTAATCCTATTTCTTTTAAAACATTAGATAATATAAACAGCAGCTGAGATGTTTCACAAAATTGTAAGGTTCCACTGAATATTGTTTATCCAAGTTGTTTATCTTCTTGATAAACAGGCTCCATAAACAATTATATAATTTATATGAAGTAATTGTTTCACTTCATAAGATTGCTCGTATTTAATCGCCTATTTACATTAAAATTCATTTGAATGCATTAGAAACAAAAGTCACCTTTATAACTTACAATTTAATAACTACAACAATGCTTCATATATTTTTTTATCAAACAAAAATAAAGAAATTCGCGATACCCTGTATTTGGTGAAGAAAGCTATGCAATCTAGTTTACACTAGTTGTTGCCCGCGACTTCGTCTGCGTAAAAAATGAATTTTAGAACATCACTTTCTTTTTGTTTCAATTTTCCAAAATATAAGTAGTCTATGTTACTCCTTAGTACATCAGCTACCGGTCAATAAAAGTCTTGCAAAATCGGTCCAGCTATTCTAGAGATTAGCCAGTACAAACAGACAGACAGGCAAAAATTGTAAACACTGATATTTTGGTATGTGTATCGTATGTGTATTTATATGCATGTAGTAAAAGCGGTGATTTTAATATTACGAACAGACACTCCAAGTTTATTTATCTGTATAAATACAAAATGTTGCGTTTTCGCAGAAATATAGAAAATTTGATAAAAGTATTACTTATTATTCTTTTTTTTTTTTTTTTTATTAAACGTTGCCCCACACTAGGATTTTCTCCTGTGTTATTATTCTTATTTATATTATTCTTAGCAGGCTAATACTCGGTACTAAAATAACCGAAACCTGATAACTGAATCCTTAATGTATGTTCCAGACCATCATCAAGTTCCGATGGAAGAGTACGGCCACGAGAACCTTGGACTTCAGAGGCATGAGCTCGATACCGCCTTGTGACAGTGTACTAATATTAAGTGGACTATTGTGATACTGACTCATTTTATACTTGACTGTTATTATACTATGAAAATATTACATGGATTATAATTTATATCGACACCACTTACACCACAACCAAAATTCCTAAGCTCGATTACTATAATTTGTGCATACGATAACTTGCTTAACGAAGTAATCAGTTTAGTAAAGAGTATCTACTTCATCGTCATCATCATCATCAGCAGCTGGAAGACGTCCACTACTTAATAAAGCGACGTCTATATTTACTTTAAAAAATACTTTAATGCTATGTTGGTATTAATTATGTCAATAAATCTTTGGGATAAGTTGGTACCTAAACGACCGGACGGCTCACCTGATGGTTAGCAATGGGTGCCGCCCATGGACACCTGACACACCAGAGGCGTTACAAGTGCGTTACTGGCATTAGGGGATTAGAGATTTGAAAATTGTTGGAGATTCCAGGATTGGGGAGATAGGGAAGAGGGGTAATTGGGCGTCCTTATAACATAATTGGTGATAATTGAGTGTTACGTTATTAAAACCTACTCATTAACTCGTCGAGTACCGGTTTTACAGACACAATTAAAGAACAATAGGTCGCGGTCACCGGTGACCGCTTGGTGTTTGACAGATTAAGGGTTAAAAAGATTTAATTATTAAGCTACGTTCCTTTATAGTAAAGAAGAAACAAGAATACAATAATATACAGACAATGTCCTGCTAATAACAAACTAGCCATTAACATTGTAAACTCGATAATAAATAAAACTCATTATTCATTCCTGAATAGTTTCCTCATCAATTATGCAACCTTATCACTTACTCCAATCGTTCTATACTCCATAGTTAGAGCAACTCTTATAATGGACCTAGAAATCGTTTTAAAATGTAAATATGGCGGCCAACATTTTGCTGCAGGTGAAGTTGGTCCTTTAATATGTCTAGAGGCTGACCGGCACTGGCGAGATATTTACGAGGATGGCTATGAAGCTGATATTAATTACTGACTCCTTCAGCTAGACGTGGAAGGTAAGTCTTCAGTTTTTTTTTTAAATTTTCTTTAATAATTTTTTGCGAAAGTTTTTAATGAAAATATGCCTTTGCAACCTTATTTTAAGTGACATTACTTTACGTTATACTAAACAATTTGTATTCCATGACTTACTTATACTCGTAAGTATAATTTATCATTACACCCTTCACTCACTACTTGCGAAAAGTTAGGTTATGAGTTCGAAATAATAGAGCGTGAGCGTAATATCAGAAACTGGACCTAATTTCACACATCGAATTAGACATCAAGCTTCTACTCAGAACTTTTAATGTTAAAAGTCATAAAACACAGTATTTCAAGGTTTTTTTTAAAAAAAATAGTAGTTGCACGGAGTCTGGAATTGTGCCCGGTATATGGCAATAGGTTTATCCCCTATTACATAGAACTCATAATATAAATAGTGAAAAGTGGGTGTTACATTGTAGAGTGGCATTATTTACCGTAATGTAATGTGCAACTCTGCTTACCCCTTCGAAGATAAGGCTAATGTTATGTTATGTGTCAAAAAACACGACAATATTTTACTCAAAAATATTAACCAGTTCACCAACGAGACATTCAAATTAATTCTGACTTAATAAAATACGTCCGTAATAAATTAAAAAGCTTTGTTTAAACTGTGGTTAAAACGGGAGATCCGAGCATTGTGTAACATTCCATAACCCGGATAATAGTTAAATAATCGCTGCGGAACGTATATGAGTTCACTCGACTGTGGAAGGGTTAATAAGGGTGCTATACTCACACTGCCCTGCGGTTTCACCCTCATGGCCCATTTACAAGTATCGTAGCGTGAAAATGTTAAAAGAATTATAATCCAACCGCTAGTTAAAGACACTAGCGAGCCCAAACAAACTAAAATAAACTTCGCAGTGTTATAATTGCTGTTGAGATAACGATTTTAAGTTAAAATGACTTTGCGATCTGGATCTTGTTTTAAAAAGATAGTGATACGAGTGTTGTGGTATAGTTTAGGTTCCATAATTTTTTTTTATTCTTAAAAAACTTTGCCCCCCATTAAGGTTTTCTCCTGTGTCGTGGGTGCGTTAACAAACATACAAATTCACATACACAATGACACCCAGACCCGAAACAATAATTTGTGGATCACACAAAGTGTAGTTCCGTGCGGGAATCGAACCCGCGACACGTTGCACGGCAGCCGGTTGCCCAGCCACCGCACCAACCGTGCAGTCAATACAAATCAAATACATACCTACTTGATATAATTTCTGTTATAACTTTCGTAAGACATAGGTACTGAATTAATTATTCTATTTTTCGGCTTACTCACGTTATTAGTAGAAGCGCCACAATCGCCACATCATGGTTCGCGAAATGCTGCTCATAATATGAGCCTCTAGCATGTGTTGAAACTAGTCGAGTTTTTCGTCAAATATTTATGTGAGTAAGCCGAAAAACATAACAATTGATTAACATAATTTCGCCTCGCCTGTCTCCCATTGAGGTAGACAGAGGCAGTGGAACGCTAAACGAAACGATTCTGACACACCTCTTTCACTTCATCTACATTCACCAACCTCTTCATGCATTCTCGTCGATTGAGGGTCCTTCTTACTTCTTACTTAGCCTTCTTTTAAATAGCCTATTTGATCGAAACACGTTCGATCTTAGGTTAGGTACACTTTAGGTTCTAATTCGATATTACACTGCTTCTACATTTGGAAGCCTCTTCTAAAATTAGAAAACCAATTATAAAAGTACAAGATCCAATTTGAAACCAATAATAATGTTCAATTACTAGAACAAAGACATTCATAAATATAGAATGAAGTCATAAAAATCAATTACTTCGCAAGTTATTACAATCCTAAATATAACTCTGAGTATTCCTAAATATTGAACGATACTAATAAATGTCTCGATACAAGTCTCGTTCGATACAATAAACTTGTTTTAATCCTCAAAACTACTACTCAGTTCAAACCAAAATCAATTTTATGACAAAGCAATAAGATAAGTAATTGCTGTCCCCAACAGGGTCCAATATCTGTGAGGTCCGTGTACTCCTCGGGGATTCAGGTTAATCCCCAATAAAGTTGAGATCCTCATCATTGTATTGGTAACTTGGTAAATGGTACGACTACTATTTATTTATTAAAGGATCAAGGCGCCTTTGATGTATAAACATTGAGGAGCATACTGGTTACATTCATTTTAATGATAGATCCTGTTATTCAGTGCGCTTGACAATTTTTATGTTATCTGTACCAAATTTTATTGGAGGCATACAATAAGTTATTTGTCGAAAGATTCCTACTCTGACTTCTAAAGTAGACAGCTAAATCAAAAGTACTATTCGATTTTTAACAGTTATATTGTAACACTAGCCTCTGTCAGCGGCTTCGCCCGCGTTTCCATGGGATAAAAGTGGCTTATGTGTTATTCCAGACCGTAATCTATCCCTATTCCAAATTAGATCTCGATCCCTTCAGCCGTTTTGCCGTGAAGAAGTAACAAACAAACATACAAACTTTGGCATAAGTCGGCGAGCATGCATGAAGACATTAATATTTAAATTTAAATGAAGCGAAAGAGGTATATCAGAATCGTGTCATCGGTCTCTTGTCTCTGTCTGTACTGACGAATGCTACGTATTATTTTTTATATTTTTTCTATAATATGACAGGATCTGGATTACTTTTAATGACTCTTCTGCCCAATATATTTTTAAGACAAGAAAATTGCAAATAGCATTTAGTCAGCTTCTCAATTTTCCTCAAAGACAGGAGTTTGATCAGTGATCAGTGGGCACAATAATATTGTATTGGGCCTGGCTAATCAGATGGCATTAACTTCCCTGTATCGATCGCCGATGTAATTACTGTGGGACTCGGGATTCAATCTCCCGCCGGATGGATTGAGAGGTCACTGCACAGACTTGATTGATTGATAATATTAATTTATTGAATTATTTAATAAGTACACGTGCTGTTTTCCTGTACGGGTGAATGCCTTAGTTAATTATGTTCAGGTTTTTGGTTTATATTTTGTTAGCAATGTTTGTCGATAGTGAATCAGTAATATTGTTCATTTTATTTCTTTTTATACATTTGGTGTAGTGGACTATCAGTTTATTACATATTTACTAAGGGGTGGTAAGGAAAACACCAGATTTTAGAATAGAATATTTTATTAGAACGTTTACTCAGCCTATATACCTATATAATTCGGGTAACTTAAATTTTTCTCAAAATATAGCGGACGCAAGCGAGTTGTAGTTCACGGGCCCGCCGCACCCGAGTTGTGTCGCTGCTGTCGTAGAGGCGGCGATCGTGGACATATAAAACTCCTGGGCCTTTATTAATCATTGATTAATCCTCATACGAGATAACTCTTAGATTTTTTTTTCTAGTTCGGAAAATCATCCAATTTCTTCACCGTAGGCCGAGAGACCGTTTCTACTCCTGCTTTGAATCGGAACCCCGGTAACCTGTTAAGATGTCTACAGCTCCAGATCGGGCATCTGTTACTGGGCACAGCTGTTATCTGATGGCTCTTTAAGGGGCGTGCGTTGATCAAAGAGTGATGCAAATACAATGTATGTACATATATAAACACGGCCTAGGCACTGAATATTAAAAATACATATGTCCCATGTAAATATCAGGTAAAGTGTTATAGCTATTTTCCGTATGAGAAGAGGCCTTTGGTCAGTAGTGGTTACTTGTAGACTGTTGAACTGATGTGATGTGATTGTTATTTTGCATCATCATCATTCAGGAGACGCCTACTGTTAAACAAAGACCTTCCCCTGTCCTCTATGCTGAATTTGCCGTGCAAAATATCAGAACAGTAAGTACACACATTGTTACGATAGTACCGCATAATGTTTCTGCGTATATCAATCTAAGACTTCCTGACAGTGCCAACATTTCCATCAAGTCGACATGTTTTGGACGCGAGATAAGCAAAGCACTGCAAACATTGATTTCTTCTATTTGTACTGACATTAGGAACGTACTACTGTGTGGAGACTAATTGTAGCTTTCGGCTTTGCTTGCTTTATTTCGTAAATAGTTTTACAGTTCGTATATTTTTAAAGTGTTTATTTTTTCTTCATCATTACTCACTGCTCAAAAAGCAGCATGATAATGATAATTTACTACTGAACATAGACAATTCCAATTTAGCATTGCATCGTTAATATTGATGTTATGTTCGACCATTGTTAGTTCAGATTTATGCAATTACTGGATTCCGATTTTACCTTCTGAAATTATATACCTTAATAAAACAGGGAGTGGTATACCTAAACCTTATACACAAGCAAAACGTTTTTATGATTGTGTATTTAAAATATTATGTATTTAATTGATTTAGAATAATTTAAACGACTTCAAAAAAGAAGGTTCTCAGTTTGAGTATGTATGTATGTGTGTGAGCAAAAATCTCGCGATTGGCTGAACCGATTTAAGAAAAGTGTTTGTTACACTTAAGAGATTTTAGTATAATTAATATGTATTAATTAACCAACTTCAAAAAAGAGGGGGTCAATGTCGATTTTTCTAAACGTCATTAATAAAAGAATTATTTGTATTATAACCATATATGCAGACTAACGCCACGTATATGTATTTGTAACGTACCAAATTCGTGCTAAATTAAGAACACCTTCATATAACAATCAGATAAAGAAATCAAATCAAAGTTGACACCACAACACTTCAGAACAGCAACCTAAATAACTATAACTATTTGTTTGTTCAAATAAAGTAATTCTTGTTTAAATTTAACTATCTCTGGCAGTCGGTTCAGTTTGTAATTATTCAGTTTTAAGGTAACATTGAAAGAAACTATGGCAGGCAGGAACGTTGTGTACGAATCTGTGCCCAAGGATGAGAAGCGCGAAGGTACGTCATTGTATATATAATTATTATAACTAATCTGATAATATGTACTAAAGTTGAGGACTCACGGCGCGATTTCCTCCCGCGCATGCCATGGTTGCGAGTTTGCAGCCTTTGTTGAATGCAAATAATTATGTATGTAAAATATCATAACAATTTTCGCGGTGCATTTTACGCCCGCAGCGTTTGCGATTGTTTGTGGTCGCGGCCGCACCCGAACGCTCTGTGATCGATTGGCAATCGGAAGGAAGGAAGTTCGGTCTGGAACTCAACTGATTTTTTAATCGCCCGGCCGTCTTTCGATAGTCAATCGCCAAGTTTGTGGGCGATAATTGCAACGGCGATGGCTGCCGGATCGCAGAAATCTAAGGTCTCGTGAGTTTTAAAAATTCCGCCGCCATTTCGCCACCGCGGCGAGCGCGGAAGATCGCGCCGTGAGTCCTTAGCCTTAGTGATTAAAGTCACTTACTAATATGTTTATGTAAAGTAAGTAGGACATTATGGCCATAATACAGTTGCAAGTTTTGCCATTTTCATCTCTCCATTCGTACTTTTAACCGACGAGTATGCATGAATAGATTGATGATTGTTGATAAAGTGAAAGAAGTATGTAAGTATCGTAGCAATTAGCGTTCCATAACCTCTGCCTACCCCCATAGGAGACAGGCGTGAGGTTATGTTTGTATGTTTTTCTGCATTCCTCTATGGTAATGGTTAAGGTCTCCGTAGAAAATTCAAAATCGTTATTACCAACGTTTTTCTTTACTTTTTGATCGCATCGTTAATGCTTCGGTAGTTGTGCTGGTTCAATTTCAATTTTCACACAGAAAAAATTGTTGTTCTAGGTCAGGGTATGATTGTGTTTATGAATTTTTATATTTGCTAACACTAACAATATAGGGGAACATCCCAGTGTGGAGTTACGTTCTTTAAATAATAACATTAGCTGTAGATTGATGTCAACGCTGAGGTATTAAGCGTAATATGCAACTCTGCCTACCCCTTCGGGGGTAAAAGGCGTGATGTTATGCTTTGTGATCAGGACTCCCGGAAACAACACATCAAGATTTCTTAAAAACTCTCTGGGGCAATAAAATATGAATGTGACCTTGAAAATCTTTTACATAAGAATATTATCTTTTCATAGCAGATAGCGTATTAAAACTAATCTTTCATCATATTTCTGGTTCACTTTACTGTGATGGCATTTAATGTTTAAGATTAAATATTCCGAGTACTGACTGACCTGTTGTAATATAAATTATCTGATCATAAAATAACTCGACACTTTATCAATGACCAATGTGCATCTTAAAGACAATCCATCTTCTTTGTATTCAGCTCAGTATGTAGAGGTCTGTGAACAAGTGACACAATTACAATAACAAATAATCATTAATGTGTTTGTGAATGCATCCACAGTGTAGGACAAAATCTCAATAGACCAACGTCTAAAAATACTAAAAACGAACCCTAAACATGCCTTATTACTTCAAAATTCTAGAGCTTCAAAAACCACCGGAGCGTCCAAAAGGGTTAGGGATACGGCACCTACAGACGGTAATACTGTTCATATGCCTAACCATTGCGTACACCATCAGGTCACAACTCAGCGTCCTCATGGTAGCTATGGTCAGGGTACAGGACCCTCACTGCGCATTCCCTGATGGAACTCGGAATATTTCCGAAGGTTGTGTCGATCCCAATGCAAACATCAGCAGGTGGAACATTTATCGCGTAAGTACTGTTTGTCTTATGATATTGTTAGTATCGTGTGATTTTGCAGATATTTCTGTTACCGTATCACGCGATGTTTATTATCTGAAATGATTAATATTTGATTTAAACACGTGGTTTTCTTCGCATTTAAAATAATACGATTTATGTATAGGTTGCTTGAAAACAAATCTGTGAAAAATGTTAAGCTAGGAGTAAAAATACTAAAGTAAAGCTAGGAGTAAACCTGGAATAGAAGTAATGCTGCCAGCCTTCTAGGTACTTTCCCTATTGACGTCGATGTGGACAAATTTTTTGATGCTCTCTGGAAATAGTCATTTTTAGTTTTCTTTTATTTAAACTTTCTTTATTATTTTAGTCTGTTTGTACATATTTATTTTTTTCCTTTCCTTATATTATTTATAGCTACAACACCTTGTACAAAATACTAACTATATCAGATGCACAGTTGAAGTTTTAATTAACTATTCGTATTCGACTTTAGCACTTTCTTTACAGTTAACAACTTACTTAGTTACTCTTTACAATTCCAGACATATGACTGGCACAAGTCGACTCAGGAGATGATAACTTTTTCCTTCTTCGTGGGGTACACCAGTATGATGATCCCCATGGGACTCTTGGCTCAGAAATATGGAGGAAAACTACCAATTATGTTCGCTTTGGCTGTTAACGGGGTCATTTCTATTTGCACACCTTGGATAGCTTTACTGGTGAGTGCGGAGAAAACAAGATATTCACAAAAAAAATCCGAAATGAAAAAGCTTGTATGGTGATCTTTCCAGGGAGGTTGGATCGCCATGTCAGTAAGCAGACTAGCGCTGGGGATGACACAGGCAGCCATGTATCCTAGTATTCATACCTTGCTGGCCAAGTGGGCACCACTTCGAGAGAGAGGCAGACTTAGCACTTATATTTATACAGGTAAGTACTTTATTACTAAGAAAAGAGCTGACAAATATTTTACAAATTTTGATGATGATGACGATGATGATGATACAAAATAATAAGATGAAAGATATACGTACGCATTGTATAGAAACTTCTAATCCATACTAAGATTTTGGAAATAACCTACCAAAATATGAACAGCAAAACAACTACAGTGTTTCCCTGTAAGTTCTACATCACGAGATAACAAAGTCGAAGTTAGGCGATTATAAAATATGAAGTTCATCTGTAGCAGTTTGTTCGTGAGAGATGGTAACAATAGAGAATGTTTGGAGCGCTAAACTTTTGCCATTCTACATTATAATTATTGTATACTTTGCTGATATGAACGAGCCTAAACTTATCGGGCGAACATTATTTTTGTTACATAAAATTCTTGCTACTTGTTGTATTGTAATATTTTGATGTTCCGATATCATCATTATCATCTTAAGTCCATTGAAATTCACCGATGAATATTAGGCCAAGGTTATCTTACAAAAGATTTTAGATTATGAATGCTACCTTATTCCTTTTTATATGCATAGGTTCTCAAGCTGGCACAATTATTGCCTTTCAACTGTCAGGCCTCTTTGCTGGCAGTCCAATCTTAGGCTGGCCCGTGTCTTTCTGGTTGTTTGGGAGTCTGAGCCTCCTCAGTTGTGCTCTCCTTGGTTGGCTCGGAGTCGCCAGTCCTCATCAGCACCCATCCATCACTACCGAGGAACTTGCTTATATCATGGAAGATGGGGCCGTTGATATTGTGCCGAAGGTAACTTTAGGAGATATTTTAAACCTGTTTACAAACACTGATATTTTGTTTGTCCTGAAATATTTTGTTTGTTAAATAAAAAACTACATAAATAAAACCTATAATTCATTTCTCGGTGGCAGTTGCGTTACAAAAATACACTTTCACGTTTTGTTCTCAGAAACGCAAGACTCCATGGAAGCACATCCTCACATCAAAGCCCGTGTGGGGTCTGATAGTGTCCCACGCAGGTAGCGCTGCTAGCTACTTGCTCATCCTCACCGAGATCCCCCTCTACATGAACCACATCTTACACGTTGATCTCAAGAGGGTAATTAATATAAACTGATTTAACAAAATCACCAGTAAGAAGTCGATAGAAATTAAATACTTAATATTTGAAAATACAGGAAGTAGAAATTAAAAGGTTCAGTTTTAAACCGTGTAACTAATTTATTGTTATAGGGAACATAACCAATTAATTTACAAAGGAAATTTCCAATAATGTTGTCCACAATTGTGTCAACTATATACTTACAGACTGTCACTTGTTAAAAGTACCACAGTTCTAATTTTAGGTGCAGTGATTTTTCCTACTAATGGCTTTCATGCATGTTATTTAAGTTTATCCACATTGCCTAGTACTTTGTGACAAGTATTTTTTTTACTTTCAGAACGGTTTATATTCTTCACTCCCCTATATTGCATTATACCTTTTGGCATTGGTGTTCGGCTATGCAGCTGACTTTGCGGCCAATAGGAAAATTATGTCCGTCGTGAATATCAGGAGAACTGCTAACAGCATCGGTACTTACTTAATTTTTATTTTTTCCTCAATTGGTTACAATTTTGATAGCTTTGAATTAATTTACTTTTCACGCTATTTAATTTTAATCAATAAAAGTGCTAACACAGTAAAACATAGTATAGATATTTAAACTATAATGTTCACACATAATTATTTTGTACTGCACGGTGAAAATAAGAGACCAGTTAACATAAATCTCCAATCAGCAATTTAGAAGATATTTGATTTCACGATGTTGGTTGGCGCGATGACTGGGCAACCGGCTACAGCGCAACGTCTAGTGGATTCAATGCCCGCACGGAGCAACTCTTTGTGTGACCACAAATTATTGTTCCCGGTCTGTCTTACAAACATCAAGTGATGTTTGTAAACGCACCCACGACACAGGAGAAAATCCTGATGTGGGGCATGTGGGGCAATGTTCAAAAAGAAATATCTTCTTAGAAAAAGTCATATCATGGAATTTACTTGAACTTAAAATATCTTAAAGACAATACTCTTTTTTTCTCAGCTATGGCTGGTTCAGGAGTATTTTTGTTCGCGTTCAGCTTTATAAATGACACGACATGGGCTGTGCTGGTACTCATGATAGCGCACGGACTACACGCTGGAGTCCATGTTGGTTTTCATGTAAGTATAATTATTTATCACTGCTTCGTTGGCCGAGAGCTCGCAAATACGACTGCCGGGCAAGGAGTTTCGAGTTCGATTCCCCGGGTCGGGCAAAATATTACTGGGATTTTTAAAAACAATCTCAGTAGTAGCACGGAGTCTGGAATTGTGCCCGGTATATGACAATAGGCTCACACACTTACATGGGATATGAATAATGAAAAGTGGGTGTTACATTGTAAAATGTCATTAAGTACCGTACTGTGCACCTTTGCCTACCCTATCGATTATAAAAAGAGTGATTTTATGTTATGTATAATTCTTTGTCAATTGACAATTATTACATTGCGTTCTTAGTAATTCGTTCAAACTTTATGAAATGCTCTTTCAATTTATAACTGTTATGAAAAGTAAAAGGATTGAACTTGTTGCTGTCATTCATCGTACCGTGCGCATTATCAGATAGCAGTCTCATTAGCATACTTCAACCAACAGCATTGCTTGAAACTCGAATGTTGAACTAAGCACCTAACACTAAGCACATGTAAAAAACCGCTAAAGTTCTCATAACACAAAATAATCAGCCAAAAATATAAAGACTGCTCGCACTGCTGTTACCGTAGATCACAGTTTGAGAAAATACACGCAATATTTATTGGTAGTCATGACACATAACAACGTTACACTGTTGCCAACTGATCCAGTGCCGAACTTTATTAAGTTTGCCTGTATTCCGGACTGGGATCATAGAAGCAAGGTCGGTCTAAGTAAACCAATTGTTTCATGACAAAATACAAACAATGAAATGAAAATAATCTTTTTTTGTCGTTAAGACTACAAGAAAAACCACAGTAGTTAAACTCAGTTTTCCGTGTTTATTTATTCCTACATTTTGTTTGTAAACAATACTTCTTTATTAGTAGTCCGTCTATTTTGTCGTCTATTTGTTTGTAATGAAACCGACATTACTTTAGCTCTATTATGTATAGCATAAACAACATAACATAATGCCATACCTTTTACACTCGAAGGGGTAGGCAAAGGTGCATATTACGGCGCTGAATGCCACTGCACAGTGTAATATCTACTTTTCATTATTAAAAAAACCCAACAATGCTTTGCCCGACCCGGAAATCTAACCCAAGACCCCTTGTCCGGCAGTCGTACTTGCGACCACTCGGCCAACGAGGCAGTCGTAAATATATGGCATATTTAAGTAGTAAAATTAGGTCTATGACGTTATTTATTTATAGTTTTTGTATTTGGAAATAAGGATTCACTTTCAAAATCATGATCGAACTTATGTTAGGAAACGACGTTGACTTTTAAGCAGTATGTTTTATTAGAAGTTTACAAAACCCAATAAAAGACTGTTGTTTTAATATTTTAAAGAAACCACATAGGACATCCTTTCATTCTTGAATCCTAGGTGGAAGGCATTAAACTTGTGTATCAGTACCGTTCCGTTTGTTCCAGATAAACCAAATAGACTTGGCGCCGAACTTCGCAGGACCAGTTATGGCGCTAGGAAATATGATTGCCAACCTAACCAGCCTGCTCGTACCGGTGATCGTGTCCAATATTGTGAGAGACGACGTGGTAAGAACAGTGTGCCAACTCCTTGCCTAATGAATTGGATCCAACCGGCCATTGTATTTCTGTAAAAGAAAATAATGATAATAATATCTTGATCAATACAATCAATTCTGTGGAATGAACATACTTTTTTTAATAAGAGTAACGAATGACGTTTTGCTCGTTCTTCTCCATTCCAATGTACATATTGAAATGAGCACCTAGCTTCACCTAGCTTCACTGACGTACTGATTGACAAACTATTATTTATTTTGTGTTTGTTGACGTTTCAAAAGTACCAAATTATGATTTAATTTAAATAATTGCTTTGACTTTGATAAATCGTTGACATGGAGCTAAGTATATTTTTCAGAAAGTTTAAATTATTATTATAACATTATGTGTTTACTTACTGTTTGCTTATGGCTAGTGCTTATGGCTAGGCCTGATAATTAGAGCTACTAACATTATGAGCTGTACCGAATTGTGTAGTCTATTCGTAACAAAATTACTTACTAATTATTCTTATTTCTGTTCTATTATAAAATGCTCTATATTTACAGACGGACCACCGTAAATGGCAGTATGTGTTCATGATCTTCGTGGCTATCATGATCATCTCCAACGGCATATTCGTCTGGTTTGCTAAAGGGACTGTGCAGCCATGGAACTTCTATGGTGAAGACGGAAATCGTAAGATACATTTTTAAGTTATTTCTTTCAATTACTTGGGTCTGTATAATTTTCTCTTGCAATCATTACAAAAAAAATGCACATAATACTCAAAATATGATCGCCATCATAACATCACGTCTTTTATTTGTCGACTGGATAGGCAGAGCTGCCTATATGAATACCTAATTGTATACATATTTCACCTCTACTACACTTAAGTAATTGTGTTTCTTAAGCCGATTTTTTTAACACCAGATAAATTTTATCAATTGATAAATTATAATTTTGAATATTTGTCAAATCACATAACATAACATGACATGACGGTCCCCGAAGGTGTAGCCCAGAGGTTCCAGAGCTGCCACTGTACAATGTAACACCCACTTTTCACTATCTATGTTATCAGTCCCATGTAATAGGGAGTTGTGTCCGGTATATGGCAATTCAGAATTCCGTGCTACTACTGAGATTTTTTAAAAAACTCAGTACCTAATATCTTGCCCGACCCGGAAATCGAACCCGAGGCCCCTTGCCCGGCAGTCGCACTTGCAACCACTCGGCCAAAGAGGCAGTCTATGTGACAATTCTTCTATACTGTCCATTTTATTCTACAGTTAAGAATTATCTGTGGGTTGATAAATCGGCCGTTTGAATACTAAATACTCATGTTGATGATTAAAAATCAAAACAATGAATGTGTTTGTAACTCCTACGACACAATTTTACTTTCTATACTATAGTGCCAAGACTGGAACATTCAAATGTAATTTATCACATTGTAATATTTTGCAGAAAATGGAAAGGAGCTAAATGGATTAGAAGATAGAACAGCGACCAACGACAAGGAGACCCAGAGAGCAGTGACAAGAGATTAACACTGATATTAGAAGTAATAGTCTTGTAAATAAATTGTTTTAAACTAATGTCGTAATTATTTTAAAAATCAGTAGTAGCACGGAGTCTGGAACTGTGCCCGGTATATAGCAATAAGCTCACCCCCTATTACATGGGACTCATAACATAAATAGTGAAAAGTGGGTGTTACATTGTACTTACAGTGGTATAATGTGCACCTCTGCCTACCCCTTCGAGGATAAAAGGCGTGATGTTATGTTATGTATTTTAAACTTAAGTGATACCCAATTCCCAACTATAACAATAATGATCAATTTAGAGTGTCAACAAGCCATAAGAAAAGTACGTGTTGATGTTCTCAAAAGCTTCTTGGAAATAAGGAAATGCATATATGTCAAATAATGTATGTAACATAGATAGATGTCAGTGATACTCGAAATGAGTAAATAGAATATATCTTGACGTCATCACCATCATGTGTCACGTGTTTTTTATCAACTTTTAAAGGAGACCCCTTTTAGGTGCTTCCTGAAACCAAAATAAAATGTGTGTGTGTGTATGTGTATCTAAATGCATTCATACGTAGTTAGCTGTTAAGAGAAGTTTCGATGGAAATGTTCCTTCACATTATGACAATATGTATTTGCGTGGAGTGTAAAATATATATATAGATATAAATGAAACCCATTTCCCGTTGTCACGCCATAACTTGAGAACGACCAGACCGATTTGGCCAATTTTTTTTTATGTTCGTTGAAGATTAAGGATGGTTTTTACGGCGAAAAAAGTCGAATAATTATCCGAAAAACCCTAAATATACCCCTAGTATATTTCTCATACAAATGAATTCAAACTACTTACAATCCATTTGAGCTTTATTTTAATTTTAAATAAAGTTCATATTGCAAGGACTCGCTTTTGTCTAGGCAATGTAAAAGTGTACCTTACGTCAACGAGTCAATTTGCGCTTTAATGACGCTGTATAAAGTTGGAATTCAATTATATTATCTATCAAGACAGTGCGCGTGTGTGCATTGGAGCACATAAATACATATTTGGAGGATATAGGTACCATGTCACGTTCTAAAATTGAGTAGTCACAAAATATTTCTACGTCATCTGACATTTTTTTGACAGGTGAGTTCACATGGCAGTTGATTTTTTTTTTGGTATTATTATTAACCTTGAGGTACGCAAAGAGGTTGACAGCAGATTAAACATATAAATACATGAATTCATTATTTTCATAATAAAATAAAAACTGCGTTTAAAAAACCGACTTCAAAAACCAAAAACTAATAACAATCAAAAAGTCAATACCCACCCACTGATAGGTAAGAAGTCGGTGCCATAAGTTCCATACAAAATTATTCATTAAAACCTTAATAGGTATCTAATTCACAATTTTGTGGACATTAAGAAATCATTATGATATGAGCTTGTGGCACCGACTTCTAACCTATCAGTGGGTGGGTAACCTTTCAGTACTAATAATAGTTATTTTTTGCTTTTTAGTATTGACTTTTTGTTTCTTATTAGTTTTTGGTTTTTGAAGTCGGTTTTTTAAATGCAGTTTTTATTTTATTTTTTTACCATTTTCAGTGTAAAGCTACATATACCCGTTTTGTTACTTATAATATACATAGGTGCAAAGTCCTCATCAATACAAATTAATCAAGCCCAAACTCAAGGTAGTTACTGTATACCGTTGAGGAGGTCCCTTAACAATTACACTTCTTCATCATCAGACCCTCAATGACAGCCCCACTCTATCTAGGAGTAAAGTCCTCATCAATACAAATTAATCAAGCCCAAACTCAAGGTAGTTACTGTATACCGTTGAGGAGTTCCCTTAACAATTACACTTCTTCATTATCAGACCCTTAATGACAGCCCTACTCTATCTATGTGTAAAGTCCTCATCAATACAAATTAATCAAGCCCAAACACAAGGTAGTTAATATAAACCGCTGAGGAGTTCCCTCGACTGTCTGTCGACTCCATCATCAGGTCGACTCTAGACCCTTATTAAATTGTAGTGTTTTAAATTCGTAATTGAAAAACATAATAGATGCATTACTCCCCCATAGAATTTTCGAAAGTTCCCCTCGGTTTCCCTAGGATCCCATCATCAGATCCTGACTTCATGGAAATGGGACCATCTCGGGAGTATACCCTTTCAAACAAAACAAAAATTTTTGAAATCGGTCCACAAACGGCGGAGTGCTGCGCGAACAAACAAAAAAAAAAAAAATACAATCAGCCGAATATAGTACCTCCTCCTTTTTTTGAAGTCGGTAAAATATAAAATCGAAATTATACTTTTGCACATATCAACGAACTAATTACACCAGACTGAATACAAATATGTATTAGTTCTTGAAAATTCGTAGTATTTCATTTTGGTCCGTTGAGACCATTGTCCGTTGTTTACCATGAAAATTTGCCAGTTTCCTTTAGATAGTAGTAAATTAGTAGCATCGCACCGGTACAATTCAGGCCATATTATTAGTACCAGAGTAATAATCCGGAAATCCCAGAATAACGGGAAGTATGTGCTATCTTTTAAACCACTGAACCTACTTGATTGAAATTCAGTTTAACGATAGTTTAAGACCTAGGAAAAGATGTATGATAGTCTTTATCCCGAAAATCGGAAACGGGAACTACGTTAAACTTCTAGGTCTCTGGCTATCTTTTAAACCATTTAACTTATTTGAGTGGACTTTAGTACAACGATAGTTTGAGACCTGGAAAAAGACGCCTGAGCGTTTTCAACCGCTGTTTCCATTTGATTGGAATTCGGTACAACAATGGTTGGCAACCCGGGAAAGGACATAGCATATTTTTATAAGACCTATCGTGAGACATACTAAATTAACTAAAATCGCGGGTTACTCACGTGAGTATACTGAGAAAAGCTCTACTAATTTCAAACCACAGAGGGGTTCTTATTCAGGAGATTAGCCAGTTCATAAAAACTCACTTTATTGTGAGTTTTTATGAACTGGCTAATCTATACTGGCTAAGTATACTACAAAACGTAACTGTCCTGAAAATAGGTAAATAATAAAAATCATTTAGTACTTTTCATTCAATTTTGTAGGAAAACAAAAATCAAAGTTTATTTATTTATTACACACACAAGTTATAACAAGGTAGATAGCTTCGAACAGGAAATTACAAAAATTTAATTAGAATTGTACGTAAGTGGTCAGTGTATCTCCCGACGTATACTATACTGCTCATGAAAGTGTAATTTAAATTAAAATGTTTTTACTCAAAATCCTCCCGTTTCTAACGCTGTGGTGTGTATCGAAATGTAAGATTGATTTAAAAAAACAGTGTGTAGACGACTACAGAGATTTAAATAACATTACTATTGATGTGAATAAATATTGTTCTGACGAATTGTGTATACAAAAATGTTGCCCCAATGAATATTGCATCGATAATTATGATAAGTGTGTTAAGATTCAAGACCTCCGTAGGACATTCGGTGTAAAATTTAAATCATTATTGACTTTAATAGATTATGATAATATTACCTTCTATTCAAATAGGGAGCTAAGACAGACAGTTAAAAGGAAGTTTAAATACATTCAAAACAATAAAAATAAAATTTATAAAAAAATGTCAATGTGTGGACATTTACACAGTGAACTGCTATACGATGATACATTTTATTTTACGAAAGTAAGTAAACAGGCTTATTAATTTTAAAACTTAAAAATTAAATATTTACGCAGCTAATCATGACTGCCTCGTTAGCCGAGTGGTCGCAAGTGCGAGTGCAAGGGGTCTCGGGTTCGATTCCCGGGTCGGGCAACGTTCCCCGGTGACAGTGATGCGGACGAGTACTTTGACGCATAATTAATAGATTTAGTAGTAGGTGTTATATTTCATTTCTTATAATATATATATACAGTTAAGATATTTTACTTTTATCAGAATATATTTAATAAGATATGAAAAAGAAATAACGCTTGTGACTCTGTACGGTACCTTTGCTCACAAGTGTAGTTCAGAAAGGAAAAGTTTTTTGTTTCAGAATGCGTCGGTCATGATATATGAAGCAATCTATAGCAAAAAATGGTATATCCTCAATGCCAGAGAATATTGCGTAGACTATAAACTCGCAAACCGAAGCGGAAAATTTACAATTTCGTTAGTGCTCAAAGAATATTATCAATTCTATGACAACGATGGACTAAATGATATCCTACTATTCATAGGTAAAAATGTAAACAGTTTTATTTTACAGCCGAAATAACCAATTTTAATTCCACAATCTTCTGGATTTTTTACGAAAGCTACGGTTGATCAAGATTTTGGATGACGTCATAAAATTCTACATTGCACAAATAAGTTTGCGCGCAATTTAAAATGCACTTTTCCGGTCTAAGGGAACTATAATATCTGTTAAAATTCCCGCTATTTATCTACAATGTAGATTCTGCAATCTGTACAATGATTTTTAAATTTTTTTCTTCTTCCACGTTGCAACAGCAATTTGATTGTTTTATTTATTTAAGGGCTTTGTCTCTCTCTACTACACCGCCTAGTGCCGTTAAAAGTAATTTGATGACACAATCGATAATAGTTATAACTTACATTCACCCTCTTTTTGTACTTATTATGTTGACCAATTACAGGTCTGCTGATATCATCTGTGTTCCTACTACTCGTGTTTATAGTTCATTGTATGTTAAGAACGCTACACTCATCTTTCACGGGACTTTTAATGATGGCGTACACAATAACAATTCTACTGGGCTTCATAGTCAAAGTCATCATGCAAGCAACAATTGGATATATGACGAATAAGAGCTGTAAAATAATAAGTATGAAATTGTTCCTGTAAACTATAGATAAACTATCTCATCAATTACTTTGCTGATGTTAACCTAATTTTCTTTGCAGCACCTTTCCTATATTTTCTTTTGATGTCGAGTTTCTTCTGGTTAAATGCTTTCTCATTCTGTATATGGCGAGGATTGAGGTGAATATTGTCACTTAATCTTTTACTGCTTATAATAATAATTTGTACGTAGGTATATGTAAGGGAACTAGACATACTGTACATAATTATATGTAAAATATTGGATATTGTATCGGAGAGATTGTAAAGCATATTTTTTTACAGACTGATAGACTATTATTATATTTTTTCTAACGTTTCAAAAGCACCAAATTACGTTTTAATGTTAACGTTCGAATTACCCTGTGCTTCAGTACGAAGGAGCCGGTTCGACTAGAGTCTAGAGACTTGAGTGATACCATGGAAAATAGGCGCGAAACAATGCTTGCACTGTGTTTCGTTGTGTGAGTGACGTTACCGAGAGGATCGATCCAACCCTAAATTCCAAATCCCCAAGTCCCTGAAAGCTCAACCACGTAGTTGTAACTCCGCTGGTGTTGCGGGTATACGTGGGCGGCACTCATTTACTTACAATCAAAATTAAAATAATTTATATTTGACTGAGAAAAGTACATAGCTATTTGATAACAAGGATCGGTATGACCAATAGGAAAAATAATCAATTCTATAATTAATTTTTGTTTATTATTATGCAGAATATAAACAAAAATAAATAACCTACTTACGACCTATAAAATTAACAACATTTTGTATGTAGATAAATTTATTTTAATTTTATATTTCCTACAAGTTCTAATCAGACTCGTTATTTAGGTAATAATGGTGAATTTTTTATGGCATAAGCCGATAAACTAGCAGACGGATTACATGATGGTAAGTAATCGACGCCGCCCATGGACACCTGAAATACTAAGGCGTTACAAGTGCGTTACCGGTCTTTTGGGAATTGGGAATTTGAGGATTGTGGAGGATTTTGGGATTGGGGAGACTGGGGAGGGGGGGTAATTTGGCCTCAGGTAACTTCACACGATGAAACACAAAGCAAATATCAATTTAGTTTCCTTGTTAATTCGTTTATTTTCCTTAATTAACTTATTTATATAGAAATAATTTAAATTATGAGGCAACCGCTCCGGTGCGTTTTAAATATGATTTAGAGTAGATAACCCTTTTTTCTATTCGCATTATAATAATATGAAAATACTTATAAAGAGTAACGATGTTCATAGCTCGTTCGTCTGCATCAGATTCAACATTTTGGAACAAGCAGTTTAACTGGCGAGAAAATCAATTTTGACGTTTCAAGACAGCTTGTATTTCTCTTTTATGCTGCGAATTATTTTCATTAATATTTTATTTACTTTCGCAGAAAAAATATTGGAGTATATAAAGCGTCACGGCGGGAGAAGTTATTGAGTTTCAGCCGATACGGTCTGTACGCGTGGGGTGTACCACTGGTGATCACTGGGATCGTCACCTGCCTGGACAACATCGACATTAGTAAATGGAATTATATTATCAAACCACCTTTCGACGACTGTTTCAAAAATGGTAAGTATAAAATGTAAACATGTGTATATATTATGTACGTACATAAATGACAATGAAACGCCAAATGACTCTATTGTCATAAGAAATTCTAATAAGAAAGAAACAGAGGTCTGTTTTTTTATATTTCAATATTGATATGGCATAGGGCGATCAACGACCATAATTATAAATGATGTGATGGTAAGCAATAAACGTTGCCCATGGGCAAAGCCAGGCAAGTTACAATTATGTTGCTGGCCATTTGTGGATTGGTGATTTCGGTATCTGAGATCGAGTATATGAGGTTAAGGGACGAGAACCTTACTTACATGGTGAAACAGTGTGGGAGAGCCATGCTTCGGAACGAATAGGCCGGCTCTACCGGAGTGATACCACGGCCTCACAGAAAACCGACGTAAAGCAACGCTTGCATTGTGTTTCGTCGTGTGAGTGAGGTTACCGTAGGCCAAATTACCCTCCCCTTTCCCAATCACCCCAAGTCAGGACTTGGATCCCCAACGATCCTCAAACTCCTAATCCCCAAAATGCCGGTAACGCACTTGTAACGCCTGTGGTGTTCCAGGTATGGACACCTGAAACACCAGAGGCGTTACAAGTCGACGCCGATTGCTTACATCAGGTGATCCGTTTGCTCGTTTACCGGCTTATGCCATAAAAAAACCAGAATGCAAGCGCTGTATCACGCCGGTTTTCTGTGAGGCCGTAGTATCACGCACCCTGGCCGAGCCGACCCATGGTGTTCCCATGTATACATGTGACCCATCCAAAGCACACGATTATTTTTCCCGCTTATCACTTCTAGCGTGACCAGTGACTTACAGCGACCGATAACGTTTTCATCACCAACTTTTGAATTATTAACATTTTCAGAGTATGGAGTTGAACGGTACTATTTCATACCACTGGGTGTGATAATGTTTATTAACATAGTCTTGTTCATAATAACGATCTACCATATATTGACAACCACATACTCAACAAAACGAAATGCAGAGTTTAGACGAAGTGGCAGGGAAAACAGGTGCGTGTGATCACAAAGTACATATTCTTACTTTTTTAATACCCTGGCTAATATACGCTTGAAATGCAACACGATATTCTCTATGCACGGTATGTGTCCCAGTGTAAACAGATGTACTTAATAAATAAGCTGAGAAACCATACAACGAATATAAAATTATATGTATATGTATTTAATTATTATTTCCACGAATATATTTTATAACTGAGTACTTATTCCGAAAAATACAACTAAACTTAGCTGAATAATAACAAAAATGGAGCACTCTTATAATTAACAAATTAACCGATGAATCTGTTGATTTTTTTAACACACAAAACATAAAATCACACCTTTTTACCCTCGGAGGGGTAGGCAGAGCACATTGCGGCACTTAATGCCACTTTACAATGTAACATCCACTTTTCACTATTTAGTCCCATGTAATAGGAGGTGTGCCTATTGCCATATACCGGGCATATTGCCATACTCCATGCTACTACTGAGGTTATTAAAAAAGGCAGTAATACTATGCCCGACCCGGGAATCGAACCCGAGACCCCTAGCCCCGCAGTCGCACTTTTTAACAACAACATTAATATGGTCACGTAATGAATTCACGACTTGCACGCATATTTTTAACGATTAATTTATTTGTTTACTGACTGCCTCATTGGCCGAGTGGTCGCAAGTGCGACTGCCGGGCAAGGGGTCTCGGGTTCGATTCCCGGGTCGGGCAAAGTATTACTGGGTTTTATAAATCTCAGTAGTAGCACGGAGTCTGGAAAAATGTGCCCGGTATATGGCAATAGGCTCACCCCCTATTACATGGGACTCATAACATAAATAGTGAAAAGTGGGTGTTACATTGTACAGTGGCATTAAGTGCCGAAATGTGCACCTCTGCCTACCTCTTCGGGGATAAAAAGGCGTGATGTTATGTTATGTTATGTTAATTTATTTGTACAAGTACATTTTTTATTATCATTTTCAGCTATAAGACTTACATGAAACTGTCACTTACTATGGGCATCAGTTGGGTCCTCGAGCTGATTCCAAACTCTAATAACACATTCATCTTCGTCCTGAGCAACTTGTACAACAGTCTGATCGGAGTCATCATATTTTTCGTGTACATTTTCGACAAAAACGTTTTGAATGAATTATGCAAAAAGTAAGTAACATAACATAACATCACGCCTTTTATTCCCGAAGGGGTAGGCAGAGGTGCACATTATGCCATTGTACAATGTAACACCCACTTTTCACTATTTATGTTATGAGTCCCATGTAATAGGGGGTGAGCCTATTGCCATATGCCGGGCACAATTCCAGACGCCGTGCTACTACTGAGAATATTTTTAAAACCCAGTAATACTTTGCCCGACCCGGGAATTGAACCCGAGACCACTTGCCCGGAAGTCGCACTTGCGACCAATCGGCCAACGGGGCAGTCGAACGAGTAAGTACACACCTAATAATTTACTTTGTGTCTAAATAGTAATTGATATCATTGATTTATACTTCTGCTAGGGCAAAATTAAGGGCAATAAAATGGTAGTATTATTTTATGAGTATCACACTCACTAACAGATCAAGTGTAAGCTTGATTTAGGTTAACGTGATCGACACATGTATGACGTTCGGTGCTCTGAGTGGCCCAGTTCCAATTAGTCAACCAATCGAAAGGCTAAAGTCAGTAACATTCCGATCATATTAACGTAACACAAAGCTTGCACTAGACCTTCTAATGTTGCTAATGTCAATTGCACCTTATTTAGAGGGCATGTAAGCACAAGTTGCTAACAAAAAAAGTTCTTCTCTATTTGTACTCACAACACGGTCTTTTCTTATGTAATAGGAGGCAAACGAGCAGATGGATCACGTGATGGTAGGCGAGACCAGCGGCGCCCATGAACACTAGAGGAGACACTTTCTGTCGACTTTATAAAAAGGAATACTATCCGTCAACGTCATAATTAAACTGTACCTATATGAAAGAGAAACAAATATTTGAAAGCTATGCGATTGTTGTTGTCCGCAATTTATTAAGCAATATTTAATTTTCAGGTTCAACATACAAAGTGGTGTTCTGATTAAAATAGCGCGCCGTAAATCCCTGTTCAGACTAGTGAGGTCAATGAAGGTAAATCGTGAAGAATTAGCTTGTATGCGACCTCCTACTACTTCGACTACAGCACAAAGTTCTGTGGCCGAGAATGAAACATCTTTAAATTCATTTTAAGTACATTATAAGCTTGTTCTCTTAATTTGTCTTTGTATGTCTTTTAAATGCATTTAATTTTGTAATATTTATTTCTTATGTATTTTATTAAGCGTGGTATTTAATACTTTAAATATCAACAAAATATTCGAAATTACCACCAAAAATACTGAACTGCACACTTAATTTGCTCATCAAATAAATCAATTATACTATTTAATAATTCGTAACCTAACCTAACCTATTTTGTAATTCTCATGTCATTAACAGCCTATAAATGCCCACTGCTGAGCAAAGCCTCTTCTCACACGGAGAAGGTTTGAGCATTAATCACCACGCTTGCTCAATGTGGGTCGGCGATTACAAACTTATAATCATAAATTAAAAGCCCAAGTTTCCTAACTATGTATTCCTTCACCGTTTGTCAGTGGTGTCTAAATAATCTTAGAAAGTATATATAACTCGGAAAATGTTACATTGGTTCTTGCCGTTGGTAGGTTTCGAGCCCGCATTCTCATGCATGAGAAGCCAGCGTCTTAAACCTCCGGGTCACCACGACATTTTGTAATTCTAATAATTCATAACTTAACATAACCTATTTTGGAAATCCGTTGTACCTAATATTGAACAATTTGTAAGCAAATCGGTATTTCTGTTTTACGATGCAATATGTTTTTGTAATATGTAGTTAATTTGTAGTACAGTAATATATAATAATATATTTTGATATGTTGGTATTATGGTTATTAGTGGAGAAATTTGATTTGCTTAAATTTCTAAATAGAGGTGCAGTAAAAAACATCTTAATCCTATTAGTAGTACATAATTATGGACCTTTTATTTATTCTGCTAAATTAAAGAAGAGCAATTTCAGAATAAAACGTGTAGATAAATATTTAAGTACTTGATTTTATAAATATGTAACTTAGTATACCTGTATACTACTTTGTAGTTTCTTTACATGGCGTGGATTATACATGTAATTTTTAGATTTTCTGAAAAAATCCAAATGTAAACTTTTATCATTTAAATCATATTAAAGATCGAAGCGTAAGTATGGTATTTTATTTCCTTATGTCAACAAGATTCTTCGATAATATTAACAAGACGCGTCATGGACCAATTGAATAACTAAACCAAGAAGTAAGGAGTCTCGTCTTCTAATCCTGAACATTCTAACAAATATGTATGTCATTGAAAATGTTGAATTAAACTAACTGTTGCTCAAAGATTCGTCTGCGGGGTCAAAGATAAAAAATTGCCTTTGTCATTTATTGTTCTAACCTATTGAGTATCGATAGACATAAATATTATAAACAGACAAAGGCAGAATTAAATATGACGATTAGGTACACATGCAACGATCGAGGTAAACATCCATCAAATAAGAGTCAATTATTCAATTCGTGGAAATGTAATCCGATATTTTTTCCAATTAATAGAAATGATACAAATCCGACATAGTGTTTGTTTTGTGTGGAAATACGGTTTTATTGGACAAAGCGATTGATTGCTGAGCACGAGAAAAGCGCTCGGGATCAAATTCTCAATCCAATATGGCGGTCAATAGTGTAATATTTATTTTTATTGGATAAGCCGGCAAACGAGCAGACGGATCATTTGATGGTAAGCAATCGGTGTCGCCCATGGATATCTGCAACACGGGTTAAGGGTTTGAGGATTAGGGATTTGGGGATGAAGGATGGCTACATTATTCAGCTGTGGCAAATAGTTCGTGTTACACGATACATTACTCCAAATATTTTGTCAAAATAGTAATCCCATTAGGGCGACCAACAATTACGGTACTCGAGTAAACAACTTTGAATTTCTCACATTAACCATAGTTTATGGACACTTCTTGAATACTAATGTCAGTCCCCAAATTGTGTGAAAACATTCTGTCAGACACAACAACTTAAAATAAAGATAAAAACCCCGCCAACTGTGTTTCATGGTGTCGCATAATTATGTTTTGCACCATTCTACTTGTTACAATATTTGACAAGTGTTAGTAAAAATAACAAAATAATCTTTGTAATATTAAATATTATAATACTTAGAGCAAGTGCAAACACTCCTGTTTGTCTTTATGGCACTTTATCAAAATGTCTAAATATAGTAAGCATGACTGCCTATTTCATTCTACTTCATTACAAAAATAAAATAATAGGAAGCGTAGTATAAAATTCCTATATATAATTACGGAACCGAATCGCTTCATAAAGCCAAAAATGAATGATTTATTACCTGGGATGCTTGTACAAGCACATAGATTAATACTAGTGCTGAATTCGCAATAAACTATTTACAATGTAAACAACTATTTGTGCCTATATATATTTAAATAAAGCTTTTCCTTGTTAATAGTACATAGTCATGGAACGACACCTCGGGACTGAGTATTTGGTGAAAAGGTGTTATCTTGAAAGTTTATTACACTTCAAATAAGGCCCGCTGTTCAGGTAGTCAAATTTAACTTAGATAAGATACCACCTTGTCATAGATTGTACGAGAAATAGACTCGGCACTTTATTATGTAATCAATTACTGGTTGTTTTTTACCTACGTACTCTCTCTTTAAAATATCCGTAACATATTTGCTTTTATCTCTGAAGGGGTAGGCAGAGGTGCAAATTACGGCATTTTATGCCACTGAACAATTTTTTTGAGCGGGGAAAATTACCTAATTACTGCTCCCGCCTGAGTGAGCCGGGAGGGAGTGTCAGACTCTTACTGACTTAAAACCACCCCGTTCCTTCTCCTGCACGCCGAGCCGGAGCCCCGGTAACCCCGGATACCACTGAACAATACTACACCTACTTTCCACTATTTATATTGTGAGTCCCATGTAAGAGGGGGAGAGCCTATTGTCATATACCGGGTACCAGCCCGCCCTGGAAATAGAACCAGAGACCCCTTTCCCGGCCGTCGCACTTATGACCAGTCGGCCCACGAGTCAGTCAGTATGCATGTTTTTATATTTTTTGCAAAATAGGACAGCATACTAGCAGGTGGATTACAATAAATGGTCGTCCGTTGGCCCACGCCATTCAATCAATGCTGCTCATGGACGTCCATGGAAACGTCAAGCCCAATTAGTTGACGTATTTTTGTGCAATTGAAATGTACAATATCATATGCATTCACGTGTCGCCAATAGGCTAAATAATTTAATAAATGTCTTTATGATCTGTCAATAAAGGTTAAAATCAGCGAGGAAAATATTGGCTTAAATTTATTCCACAGATAGGAATTCGTACATAATGAAAATAATCTTTTTAAAAATTCTGAATGTACCAAAATTTATCGTCTGTTTAATTAAATAATCTTTGCCATCGCACCATTGTGGTGAACAATGATTTTGCTGTAATAATTATTATATATGTTATGTTATTATTGCAATCGTCACTTCACCTGTAACTTTATTCAGTAACTAGTGATACGTGTGTCAGTGGACAGATACACACAAATACATACAAAATGGGGAAAGATGAAACGTTGCCTACCTATGAATACAGCAAAGTTCCTACAAAACAAATCCTTGAAGGTAAGCGCTTGTTCTTTATTTATAAATATTAATTGTAGTAAATGATGAAAGTAATATCTTTTAACAGGAAAATGTTGGTTCTTAATGCTATTAAAACTAGTGTCTATAGTCGAAAATATTATTTGAGATAGTGGGCGGTAAACAGTCAGACTGATTACCTAAAGGTAAGCAATTGGCGCCGAACATGAATACCCGCAATCCCAGAGAAGTGGAAAGTACATCTTTGCGAAGTGTAGGGAAGGGGCATGTGGTAACGTCACTCTTGGGGCAAGGCAAGACGCAAAAGTTGTTTCATGGTAGTTTCAGTGTGCCAGCTTGATAGCTTGGTATTACTTCATCGCCCATTTGTCCCTAAACATTGCTCTCCCACTTACAATGTCACTAACGCAGGTATTACATCATTAATATCGATTACAGAACAGAACATCACGCCTTTTATCCTCGAAGGGGTAGGCAGAAGTGCATATTACGGCACTTAATCCCACTGCAATGTAACACCCACTTTCCACTTTCTATGTGATAAGTCCCATGTAATAGGGGGTGAGCTTATTGTCATATACCGGGTACAAGTCCAGACTCCGTGCTACAACTGAGATTTTTTTATAAACCCAGTAATACTTTTACTTACTGCAATGGTCAAGCTAAACAATAAAGTCTTTAATTAATTTCTATTACAGCAAAGCAAGAAATCCCCACACATTATGGATACGGAGTCAGACACGTTCAACTACTGATATGTTTTCTATGTATATTAGTTAGCTTCATAGCCAGAGGTCACATGGGGGTCACAATTGTAGCTATGAGTGATACTCCCACTGAAAACGGATCACTATCAGCTAATAACATTACAGTACAAACAGATGTTGGTAATGTTACAAATATTCAAGAAGCAATTGAAATTAATTCTACGATAAAAGATATTAACAATTTAACTGAAAATTATAAAAAAGTTCATGTAATCAATGATACCACTGCTGATTACCATCATAAAGTAAGTTTTCCTGTATTATTCTTGTGAGATATACAAAATTAATTATTATGTTTACCGACTAACTCACGTAACGGTTTGACGAGGATCTCGACTAGTTTCAAGCAACGCTAGGGGTTCACATTTGTCGCGGAGAACCTAACGGGTAACCGGGGCTCCGGCTCGACGTGCAGGAGAAGGAACGGGGTGGTTTTTAGTCAGTAAGAGTCTGACACTCCCTCCCGCCTCACCCAGGCGGGAGCAGTCATTCGATGATTTTCCCCCCTTGAAAAAAAAGGGGTTCACATTTATGAGCATCAGCATCTTCGAACGTACAAAAATGAAGTAAGCCAGTAAACCTAATATTTAATTTCCTATTCCTAGTAAATGATCTTTACAAATATAAAAAAATCGTAATATTTTGTTTCCAGAAATATATCTGGCCAAAGTCAATACAAGAAATGGTGTTAGGTTCGTTTTTCTTAGGTTACTGCATCATGACTTTTCCGATGGGAATGGTAGTCCAGCGGTGGGGAGGCAAGATTCCGCTGCAAATCGCCTTGTTTGTTAATGGAGTAGCATCTATATTGGCACCGTGGGTCATTGACTGGGTACGTAATTTAACTATAATACTTGATAATATCTAATCTCTAGTATTATTGATTTTTTTAAAACCTCGAAAAGAAATAATAATTATTGTGTCATGAATCGAACCCTCCTGCTAAGCAGTCACACTTGCAACTACAAGACAAATGAGTAATTCTAAGAAAAAAAAATGATGAAAGCTAATGGTTTCATATTGAAATGACGAAATGAACTAAAAGGAAGCAGATAAAAAAGTATTATTAAAAAAAAAAAAACGTTGCTCTAGTCTACGATTTTCTCCTGTGTCGTGGGTTTGTTTACAGACATATACATAATATCGCATACACATGACACCCAGATCCGAAACAACAATTTATGGATCAGACAAGGAGTTGCTCGGTGCAGCAAATGATATTTACTTACGTAGTTATATATTTTTTTCAATATTTAATCATGTCATATACTAAACGGTGTTTATGTTCTCAGGGCGGTTGGAAGGCAGTATGTGCCTGCCGTATTTTACAAGGCCTAGCCCAAGCTGGTGTGTACCCAAGTATTCAGAACCTCCTGGCCAACTGGGTCCCAGTGAATGAACGTGGAACCCTCACCAGCTATGTGTACACAGGTAAGCAAATAACATTTCTCTTTGATTTTGTAACGCAAGCCGCTTATCTTCTACTTACTGTAAATACAATACACTTAAGAAATGAGTAATTACTTTGTTCGGAAATTCCCCACGGTAGCAATTGTTTATGTTTATAGTATAAAAATTGATATTGTTAAATAAAGGTACTGCTATACATGCTGTAAAATAGCATAATAACATCAAACCTTTTATCCTTAATACTGTACAATGTAACACCCACTTTTCACTATTTATGTTATCAGTCCCATGTTATAAGGGTGAGCCTATTGCCATAATTGGCACAATTCCAGACTCAGTGCTACTATTGAGAATTTACAAAAAAAAAACAGTAATACTTTGTCCGATCTAGGAGTCGAACCCGAGACTTCTTGCCCAGCAGTTGCAGTTGCGACTACTCGGCCAACGAGTCAGGCTTTAAAATAGCATGTTAAAAAGCATTCTATTAAGTATGCTCAATAGGAGCATGCATAAGCATGAGCAGTATACATTTGCTAGCAATAGACATGCTAGTATTAAGTATGACACGTAATAATTTTGGTATACCCGCATCACAGGTAGCATGCAAATTTTGAGCAATATTCCAACACACATGCTACTAAGTAACAAGTGCTCAATTGAAGCATGATTTGCTATGCTCTCGTGCTTGAAATGAGCATGACATGTGTGTTCACACCACTAAAGTAAATATTATTTAAAGTCTATAACACATACTATGTCTGTCGCGCTGATTTTCCATTATTAAGGCTTACTTTCATAGAACAATTGTACAGGAGTCGTTAGACAATAATCAAGTATTCAATAGTCCCAGTGTAAATAAAGCAAAACTTGCTACAACGAGATAAGGCACACGTGCCGAGAATTAAACAAAATTAGGCATTCCACCACTCGTGTGTTAGACTTAGACTTTATTTTATCTAATACTAAGATAATACACAACAAATGGGTAGGTTACGTGTTATCATTACTGCGTTTAATTTTCCTATAATTTGTATAGGTATTACATAATTTCAATTCTAATACTATTGAAATTATGACTGCCTCTTTGGTCGAGTGGTTGCAAGTGCGACTGCTGGGCAAGGGGTCTAGGGTTCGATTCCAGGGTCGGGCAACGTATTACTAGATTTTTAAAAATAAATCTCAGTAGTAGCACGGGGTCTGGATTTGTGTCCGGCAATAGGCTCACCACCTATTACATGGGACTCGTAACATAAATAGTGAAAAGTGGGTGTTACATTGTACAGTGGCATTAAGTGCCGTAATGTGCACCCCAGCCTACCCCTTCGGAGGTAAAAGGCATGATGTTAAGTTATGTTACTAGTCAAAGTCAAAGTCAAAATCATTTATTTTAATTAGACCAGGATGGCACTTTTGAACGTCAAACAACAAAAATGTATAAGTGGAGCTAGTTGCTCATTCCAAGGTGTAGATTCCTATGGAGAAGAACGAGCAAGAAACTCCATAGGTTACTCTTTTTCAATCAGGTTTACAATACAATTCTCTAGTTACTGTTAGTTAGTGAAATGAGTGAATCAAAGAGGTACATCAGACCACCATCAGATAGTTATAATGTAGCTATATTGGTAGCTTCTAATAATGAAATCACATTTACAAAGTTAACTTCATTACCCTCCCCTATAAATTGCTTACATTTCCTTTCCAGTAATAAAACTTTAGACCGTATTATAGTGTCGCGGAGAACCTAACGGGTTACCGGGGCTCCGGCTCGACGTGCAGGAGGAGGAACGGGGTGGTTTATAGTCAGTAAGAGTCTGACACTCCCTCCTGCCTCACCCAGGCGGGAGATGTCATACGATGATTTTCCCTCCGTAAAAAAAAAGACCATATATATGTAATTAAGTATTAAAAATTCGCATTTTGTGCATACTTTGCTTAAAACACTTTCCAAAATAAGAAGTTGCAATTTTCAGTCATCATTTTATCATTTGTGATTGCCATCAAGAAGACACACTAGAACATCTTAATTTACGTTCCAGGGTCCACACTTGGCACTGTCATAGCGTTCCAGATGGCAGGCTACTTGGCTGACTCCAGATGGGGATGGCCGACCACCTTCTGGGCAGTCGGTGCAATATGCATGGGACTGTTCACTGTGCTGACAATATTCGGTGCAGCATCACCACCACGGCATAAAACTATTAGTGAAGAAGAAAAGACTTATATTATGGGGCGTGTTGATGATGGGACAGTCAAGGTAGATATTCATTTTATTATTTACTAGCGACCCGCCCCGGTTTCGCACGGGTGTAGTATGCGTGTATTATATATATAAACCTTCTTTAAGAATCACTCTATCTATTAAAAAAAATCGCATCAAAATACGTTACAAAGATCTAAGCATTACATAGAGACAGACAGACGGTGGATAGCGACTTTGTTTTATACTATGGAGTGATAAGGCTTCTGATTAACCGAGCTTCGTTTGACCGAGCTAATCTCCGAAACTATTGGTCCAATTTGAACATTTTTTTTTGGACAGTGCATTTATTAAAAAAGGCTATATAGGCTATGCTTCATTATGCTATGTATGATGTTTGTGATGATGAAAGTCTTACCTCACGGTGAAATTGAATTTGTAATAACATCACGTTTTTTTACCCCGAAGGGGTAGGTGCACATTACGGTTCTTCGAAGTCAAAGCATTTATTTTAATTAAACCATAGTTTGGTACTTTTGAAACGTCAACAAATACAAAATAAATAATAGTCTGTCAGTCAGTCCGTCAGTGAAACTAGGTGAAGCTAGGTGCTCATTCCAAAAAGTAGATTCGAATGGAGAAGAACGAGCAAGAAACTCCATTCGTTACTCTTTTTAAAAAAGTATGTTCTTAATGCCACTGTACAATGTAACACCTACCTTTCACTATTTATGTTATGAGTCCCATGGAATAGAGGGTGAGCTTATTACCATATACACAATTCCAGACTCCGTGCTACTACTGAGATTTTTTTTAAAAACCCGGTAATACTTTGCCTGATCCGGGAATCGAACCCGAGACCCCTTACCCGGCAGTCGTACTTGCGACCACTCAACCAACAAGGCAGTTATCTGATGTGTCTGTTTCAATTTACATAGTAAACACTCAGCTAACAAGGCAGTCTTGGTTTGAATTTGTGGTTTTGCAAAATGTAGTTACGACATTTTTCGAAAACGGGGTTTGATCAAAAACTTCAATTATAACGATACCCATTAAAATGTGTCTTACATACTGTATTACAAGTATTTTAATAATATTTACAGAAATTAAGTATACCGTGGAAGGCGATTTTAACATCAAAACACGTGTGGGGTATCTTGGCGACACACGTGGGGAGCGGAGTCAGCTTCGTGTTCTTCTTCACACAAGTCCCCTCTTACATCCACTATATCCTCGGCATTAATGTTAAAAGTGTAAGTATTCAAAGCAATTTGTGACATAAATATAAATGGATGATTTTCAGATTTATAGTTTATTTATTTATTTAAATCGATATATTCTAACAGGAGATTTGTTGATATCAAGTTTAGTTATCAATAACTATAAAATAATTCAGATCTATTTAAGCTTCTTTAATTGACATTGTAAACGTACCCACGACACAGGAAAATATCATATTGTGAGATACTTTTTTTAATCTTTCCCTTTTTGAAAGTTTTTTTTTTTTTTAAATAAAACTCGTCTGGAAGATCCTACTGTCATCAACGAAAGTTATTCTATTTTATTGACCAATAACATAACAACATAACATCACACCTTTTATCCCCGAAGGTTTTTATTTTGGTAGAGGTACACATTACGGCATTTAGTGCCACTGTACAGTGTAACACCCACGTTTCATTATTTATTAGTCCAATGTAATAAGGGGAAGCGTATTGTCACATACCGGGACAATTCAAGACTCCGTGCTACTACTGAGATTTTTTTTTAAATAAACCCAGTAATACTTTGCCCGACCCGGGTATCGAATACGAGACCCCTAACCTGACAGTCGCACTACTTGCGACTACTCGGCCAATGAGGCATTCTAGGCAGTTTACTGACATCATCATGAATCTATTTCTGTTTAACAGTACCCCACTGAGCATTGAACCTTACTCCTAGCTACCATAATATAATTGTGAAAGTTCTAAAAGAAATATTTATCATTCCAGAGTGGTATCCTGTCATCATTACCGTACGTCGTCAGTTTCTTCACGAGCCTCTCATTCGGAATACTCTCCGACTACTTGACCAACAACAAATATCTACAAGTAAAGAATGCTAGAAGACTGTTCAATAGTATCTGTAAGTGTTTTCATTACTTTAATGCTTTAGTGATTAGTTAATCTTCTGTTTTTCCAAACCTATTGTATTCTTCTATGAACTAAATCTTAACTTTATATTTCATTCAGTCTCTTATTGGAGGTCATCTCACTTTATGAATTATGTTCAAATACTCAAACGCCTCCCAATTAGAAGTCACGTTTAAGTATAGTTCTGTCACTACGAATTCTTTTTAAAATGACAGAGATGGCACGATATTTAATACAACTTAAAATTGAGTACCTTCTCACTATTTGCGAATTAGTTATTTTTTGTCAATTCGAAAACTATATTTTTTAATTCACTATTGTTTAATGATTTTTTACCACCTGTTAATGCTAACTTTCTGTGTATTTTTAATTCCAGCTCAAGTAGGAGTTGCTGTGGCACTTGTATGTGTCACATTCACCACAAGCACGGTGGTGGCAGTGTTGTGTTTGGTGACATCCATGGGGTGCCACATGGCGATGCATGTCGGGTGGATGGTCAGTATTACCTTGATGATATTAGATCCCATGATTTTACAACTTCATTTGCTGAGGAACGATTACGATTATGAATAAACAACACTATGCATTGTCATAGTGACTGATGACTGACAATTGCAAAAAAAATTAAAAACATTTTTTTTTATCTTTAAACTGTCAAATATCAAGCGGTCACCGGTGACCTCGCGGTGTTTGACAGTTTAATTGTGTCTATAAAACCGGTACTCGACGAGTTAACTCGTCGAGTACCGGTTTTATAGACACAATTAAAGAACAATAGGTCGCGATCACCGGTGACCGCTTGGTGTTTGACAGATTAATGGGTCGACGCGACGTTAGACCCCTATCTCGCCTGGTGTTAAGCGATGATGTAGTCTATGGTCTATGTTTTTTGGGTAACTTTATACCTGGGTTTTGTTTATGTATCAGCTCAATTTCTCTATTACTTCCAGGTTAACCATATTGACTTGGCTCCAAACTTCAGCGGTACTCTCATGACTATCGGCAACACTGTGATGAACATCTTCAACGTGTTGCTGCCCGTACTTATATCCAACGTCGTCACAGATGTTGTAAGTATTGTGTGTAGTCATAACATCTTGACGCGGAGAACTTAACGGGTTGCCGGGGCTCCGGCTCAAGGTGCAGGAGTAGGAACGGGGTGGTTTTTAGTCAGTATGAGTCTGACAATCCCTCCTGTCTCACCCAGGTGGAAGAAGTCATTCAATGATTTTCCTCTCTTAAAAAAAGGTCATAGGTATCAGATTTAAGAAGTTCTGAACATTTGGACAAGTACCCAAATGTAAGCGTGACCTAAAAGAAACATTTTTGAGATTTTAACTACTAGAAGATTTAAAGTTGTTAAATCATTTGCGGTTCATCTATAAGTATATTTCCAATGAAGTTAGCTTATAATATAAGCTAAGTAACTTCATTGGAATCCGAACTGTCAACACCGTCGTGACAAACTCCGAGTGAAATTAAGTGAAATAAAATAGTAAACGTAACTTTTGGTAACTATTAGTGGCTAATATTCGTCGAGTCAATACTGGGACCTCTTGGAAGTGATAAAAAAACATACAGTGAAGTGCGATTACTGGAATCCATCGTGGATAATATCAAAATAATATCAACATAATAAATATTGGATTGGAGGTAGAAGTAGAAAACAAGAAATCGTTCGTTCACCCAGTGACACTTGACGTTAACGTCAATGAATCTAACTGACATACTAAATAGTGTTGCCAAGTGAAAAAATTGTTGATACCATATTCTACTATTGCGTTTCGTTACACGTAGATTCAAAATACAAGATGGAAGGCCAATTTCAAATATTATTTGAAAAGATGAAATTAGAGATGCAAAACCAAAATGCTGAACTGAAGGATTCTATAACAAATAGTATTATGGAAAAGATGGATGACAAACTAATCCCTATTATCGAAGAAAATAAGAACCTGAAAACTGAAATAGGAAAACTAAAAAAAGAAATCGATTTTCTTAAGAGGGCTGGAAAAAACAATAATATTATAGTATTCGGATTAGAAGAAAACGAAAAATCCTCTTATGAACTGATACAAAAGCTCAAAGAAGCCTTTAATCAAGACTTGAATATTAAAATGGAAGAATACGATATCAACAAAATTCACCGCTTAGGAAATAGAAATAGAGAGAGCAACAAACCGAGACCAGTGCTATGCTCGTTTATTAGCAACTGGAAAAAGACCGAAATTATCAAAAACAAAAAGAACCTAAAAACTATATACATTGCGGAGGATTATTCGAAGGATGTGTTGGAAAAAAGAAAAGAGCTTCAAACCAAATTAATCGAAGAGAGACAAAAGGGCAATATAGCATATCTGAAATACGACAAACTAATTGTCAAAGAAAACAACTATAGCCAAGAGAAAAGGAAAAGGGAAATATCCGCCTCACCCCCAGATAACAACCAACCAAAAAAACAACAAACCGTAAACACAATGAAGACAAACAGACAAATGCTTACGATTTAATGCGGTATAGATCCAGCTTGCTGTCGAATATGCCTAATACGCATAAAAACCAATAGCAACTAACAAACGGCAAACGGAAACCAAAACCAACCAAAGAAACTAGGAAAAAAGAATTAAAACTACGAACTCCCCCAAGCCGACTGGTCCTCGAGGGGGAAAGCGACCACAACCCTCCAACGTCTAAAAACAACAGCCACCGAAAATCAGTAATTTACATAGCATCCCTTAATGTACTCACCCTGGGAAAAGAAGAAAATCTTACGGAACTGACATATGCGCTAGAATGTATTAAATGGGACATAATAGGTTTGAGCGAAGTGAGAAGAATGGGCGAAAGTATTACTTGTCATCCAGACTATCTGTTTTACCAAATAGGGGAGACGCAAGGCCAATATGGGGTAGGATTTATTATTAAACAACATCTAAAACAATATGTGGAAGAATTCATAGGAATCTCAGAACGCATAGCGATTGTAAACTTGAAACTACCAGGATATAGAAAACCGTGGTCTATTGTACAAATTTATTCCCCTACAGAGCAATCAAATTTGGAAGAGATAAACAATTTTTACCATATTTTAAACGAAGCCATCCAAGATTACAGTCATAAAAACCTTATAGTAATGGGTGATTTTAATGGCCAAATTGGAGCACGACGCCCAGGAGAAAACGCAATACTGGGCAATTCTCATATAGTAACAAAACCAGAAGCAGAAACGGGGAAAAAATCACAAACTTCGCGCTAGAAAACAAATTAACAATCTTAAATACTATGTTCAAGAAGAACCGAAAGGGCAGGTGGACTTGGATCTCGCCGGATGGTAAAACAAAAAATGAAATTGATTTTATAATGACTAACAGAAACAGCTACTTCACAAATTTCACCGTCATTAAAAGACTCAACTTCAACACCAACCATAGGCTACTCAGAACTGAGCTCAAAATAAATCAACCTAAGAAGAATAGACCGAGACGGGACCCAAGAAACACGAAACTCAACGAACAGCAATTAGAACAATTAACAACAGCCTTAAAGGTCGAATTTGAAAACTTCAAAGAGAACACGAAGGAATTAAAAACCCAAGATAAATACAATTATATGGAAAATGCTATCAAAACCCAAACTAAACTCATAGCAGATACTAAAGTTGATGCAAAAGGATTACTATCAACAGCCACTAAAAAACTCCTAGAAGAAAGAAATCACCTTATTAACCAAAGAAATACTCAAAATAGAAGACAAAAATTATCAAAAATCAGCAAAGACATCAATGAGAGTATGAGAAAGGATAGAAAACAACGAAGGATGCAAACAATAGAAAATTTCATACAAAAAACCGGTGGAATTAAAAAAGCACTTAAAGAATTGACTGCCACGAAGAACTGGATCGTAAAAATGAAAGACGACCGAGGAAAATTCGATCACAACAGGGTCGACATATTGAAAACAGCTACGTCATTCTACAAAAATCTATACCGAAACAACACTACGCAAGCAGAAATCAATCCAGTGGAAACCTCGAACATCCCCAGTATTCTTGAAGTTGAAGTCAGTAAGGCGATCGATACCCAAAAGAGCGAGAAAGCACCCGGACCTGACGGAATAAGCAATGAAATTTTAAAATATAACAAAAAGATCTTGATACCTATCCTCACAGATATCTTCAATGACATCACGAATACTGAAATCATCCCCCAGCAATGGACCGAGTCTCACATCATCCTACTATACAAGAAGGGTGATAAATATGACATAGGAAATTATCGCCCTATAAGTCTTATGTCCAATATATATAAGATATTTGCTAAGATCATCTTAAAGCGGATCGAAAGAACCTTAGACGAAAACCAACCTATAGAGCAAGCAGGATTCCGCAAAGGTTACTCAGTGATCGACCATATTCACGTAGTGCGTCAAATCCTGCAGAAATTCAACGAATACCAACTAACATACTACATTGCATTTGTCGACTATAGCAAAGCATTCGATTCTCTACAACATGATAAAATATGGGAGGCGTTACTAGAACAAGGAATTGAGCATAAGTACATCCGATTAATAAGAAACGTATATAGCCGCAGCAGAGCAAGAATCCAACTAGAAAAGAAAAGTACTCCTTTCAGAGTGGAAAAAGGCGTAAGGCAGGGAGACCCCTTATCTCCGAAATTATTCTCCGCAGTACTAGAATCAATCTTCCGGAGACTTAATTGGGAACACCTCGGAATTAATATAGACGGTCAACTGCTTTCGCATTTAAGGTTTGCTGATGACATAGTATTATTGGCGAGAACAGCAGAAGACCTAAAAAAAATGTTAAAAGAACTTGCGGAAGAAAGTGCGACAGTGGGGTTGGCAATGAACCCGGAAAAAACTAGGGTGATGACAAACGGATACAAACATGCTATAGATCTTGAAAACACTGAAATCCATTATACAGACGAGTACGTATATCTAGGGCAACTCATAACTCAAAAATATCCTATGCAGAAGGAAGTAGACAGAAGAATTACTAATGGTTGGAAGACATACTGGAGTTTAAGAGAGGCTATGAAAAATAAAGAACTCCATATAAACTTAAAATGCAAACTTTTTAACACATGCGTACTACCTGTTCTTACGTACGGGTGTCAGTCATGGTCCTTGAACCAGGTCACCTTAAACAAACTAGCAACTTGCCAGTATGCAATGGAGAGGAGCATGCTAAACATTAAAAAGTCCGACAGAGTAAAAAATATTGCCATTAGAAACAAAACAAAAACTACCGGTGTAATAAGCAAAATTAAAAGACTCAAATGGCGATGGGCTGGTCACCTGGTAAGAGGACATGACAAATGGAGCAAAAGGGTGACATGGTGGTACCCAAGGGAAGGCAAAAGGAAAAGAGGCCGACCACAGAAAAGGTGGGACGATGACGTTAGACAAGTGGCAGGAGTCACATGGAACAGAGTGGCTCAGGAAAGAAAGGAGTGGAAAAGGTTGGAGGAGGCCTTTGCCGACTGGCAAACAGATCTAGGGAAGATAACCAAACAACAAATTTTAGTCTAAATTGTGCATACATATTAAGTTTTATATTATAGTGCTAGTTCTTTATATAAGTTTAAAAACCTATTGTACTAAGAGATCTGATTAAAAGGCTATATTATTATTATTATTATAACTTCATTGGAGATATTCTTGAATAAGGCCCAAAAGAAGGAGATTATTCTTGTCTAGTATGTTTGAATGAATATGATAAAAGATAAAAGACATAGGACAAACGTATTAATTTATATACATTATGTACCGTCTTTATAACACTAATAATATTCGTATTCATAATTGCAGCACAATCAGACGCAGTGGCGAATTATCTTCTTCATAATAGCGTCTTCAGGTTTCGTAGCAAACGCCATCTATGTGTTAACCACATCAGCAGAGACACAAACGTGGAACGACAGTGAACAAAGTGGTAAATATTTTTTTATGGTTATTGTATTTTCATTATATGTTCAAAACATTTATTTATTTATTTATTTATATATACTTTATTGCACACACAGAAAAAAAAAAATTTGTAAACATTGCAACAGTAATTAAAGTACAATGGGCGGTCTTATCACACGCGGCGATTTCTTCCAGACAACCTTTGGATGGAATTTTAGAAAAGAATCTGGGAATGGGTGGTAGATGCACAATAAAAATAAATCAAAATAGAAGGAAAGCAATAAAAAAAACAAATTAAACAATCAATGAACCTTACAGACTACATATAATACATAAAAGATAAAATGGCAATACTATTTAATAAATATATACTTAAATGTAAAATGATAACTATATATAGTTGCGTGTATGTGTGTGTGTGTGTGTGGTGTGTGTGTGTGTGTATATGTGATGTGTTTATCCATAATGAAAGGACAAAAGCATAACTACAGTGACAGGTAGTGTTCCTTCACACGTCCTTTAAACTGACCCAGAGTTTGAGCACGTCGCACTTCCACCGGCAGCGCATTCCACAACCGAGCCGCTTGAATTGTGAAAGACTTGTCATAAAAGCAAGTGGAGTGCTTACAAATGCTGAGCTTAAGATTTTCCGATGATCTCAGGAACTTCGAATGTGTGACACCCAGGAACTGAAAACGTTCCTTTAAATAGAAAGGGGCAGCAGGATTAAAAAGTACATTAAATAGTAACGAAAGGATATGAGCGTTCCGGCGAAGGCGGATAGGCAGCCATTTGAGCTTACTACGAAATTCAGAAACATGATCATACTTGCGCAAACCAAATATAAATCTGATAGAAAGGTTTTGAAGGCGCTCAAGCTTATCCAATTGTTCTTGGGTGAGATCTAGATAGCTGACATCAGCATAGTCGAGTATTGGTAGAAGAAGAGACTGTGCAAGTGCAATTTTGGTTTTAGTGGGTAAGAAATTACGAAGACGCCTTAAGGAGCCCGCTGAAGCAAACAACTTTCGACTGACCACCTGCAATTGTTTATTCCAGGAGAGGTTACTGTCGATGTAAATCCCCAGGTTCTTAACATCGCGGGAGAAAGGAATTTTCGTATTTAGAAAAGAAACTTGGGGAAGACTTGTCCAATTCATTTTGGAGACGATACGCGCACTACCGATGATAGTCACCTGCGTTTTTGATGGATTTACCAGCAAACCAAATTTGGAACTCCAATCACCTATTCGTGCCATATCGTTGTTAATTAATGTAATGGCGCCTGGTAAATCTTCAAGAGAGGCCTGGGTGTAGATCTGAAGATCATCTGCGTAAAGGTGGTAGGAAGAAGATAGACCTTGAGAAATAGAATTAATGAATAATGTGAAGAGAAGAGGAGATAAAACGCCACCCTGAGGTACGCCGGCAGCAGTGGAACACCATGAAGACCTAGAATCCTCAAGGTAAACACGCTGACGGCGGCCGAACAGGTAACTATGAAACCAGTCAATTACCGACGGGGACATGCCAAAGGAGCTGAGCACGCCAAGCAGTAAGTCAAAGTCAACGGTGTTAAAAGCGTTACTGAAATCTAGGAGTACAAGGACCGTTAACTTTCCTGACTCCATGCCTGATCGGATGTCGTCTGTGATATTAACAAGAGCCGTTGTAGTACTGTGCCCTGGCCGAAACCCAGATTGGAAGGGACTTAAGAGGCTATGCTGGGATAGGAACCTGCTGATTTGTTGGTGGACCAGCTTCTCTAGGATTTTGGATAAAAATGGGAGGATGGATATGGGACGAAAATCGGTAAAGGAAGTGGGATTGGATTTTTTGGGTAGCGGGATTATGTGAGCATCTTTCCAACTTTGGGGAAAGTTCTGTCGGTGATTGAAGAGTTAAGGACGAAAAGAATTATAGGAATAATTTCATCAAGGATAGGGATAAGCATTTTACGGCTAACGCAGTCACTACCAACGGCATTGGAAGTAGACGACAAGATGCTCCTTCTAACATCCCCCTCGGCAAACTGACTGAAGTCAAAGAGAGATATAACAGGTAACGGCAGGAGAGAAAGAGAATTTAAAGTAGAAGCTTTGGTTGCCCTATCCAGTACAGGCGAAGAAGAGAAATGACAGTTAAGAGAGTTATAGTTAAGATTATCTGGAATTGAATTTTGAGCAGATTTGCCTATACCCAATGATCTAAGAAACTTCCAGACCTTAGCCGGATCACTATTTTCAAGTGATTTATGGATGTGTTGGCGTTTTGCATTTCTACACACCTTGTTGCAGTGGTTCCTGATCGCAATGTATTTGTTTTTATTAACGTCGTTTGGCCGGACTTTGAACTTGAACCTCGCAGCTGCTTTCCGAGCAATAAGGTTTTTAATTTCATCACTAAGCCAAGGTGCTGGAAGGTGTTTGACTCTAACGGCCCGGATCGGAGCGTGTTTGTCATACAGTTGGATAATGTTGGTGGTCAAAATCTCAACCCGTTCATCAACCGACACAGATTGAAACAAAGGTGTCCAATCAATATTACCAGCATCCTCCCGCAGGCGATCTACATTCATACCCTCAAAATTACGAAGAAAAAGAGTTTTCGAAGTATGCTTAGGGGGTCGAATCTTATAAGAGGCATAAATTAAGTCATGGTAAGAAAAATGATCAGCTGAACACTGTCCATGTTTAGCTATGTGATTGGGAGAAGAAACTAAAATTAAATCAAGAAGAGAGGGAATAGAGTTAGGGCAATGGTGAGTAGCATTTAGATTCAGTAAAGAGAGATTAGCTGATTCAATGACTTGAGTAAGAGAGGTAGAACGGGAGTCATTTTTTAAAATGCAGGTGTTAAAGTCTCCCATTAATATGGTGTGGTCGTACAAAGGAACAAATGATTCCAAAAGGTGCTCGAAAGAAGAAAAGAAATTTATACGGAGAGAGGGACAGTAGAAAACCCCAAGAAGAATCTTAGAGTGATGAAGTTCAACTTCCAGGAAAAGATGTTCACCACCGTTTGGAGGAGGTGGCTGCGCCGACACACTAACAATAGTAAAGGGTATCTGATTACGAAGGTATATGGCCACGCCGCCACCACCCCCCACTGCCCTGCCCCCACTTCCTGATAAGATTGAAACCTGGAAGAGCATAGGATGAAGAGGGGAGGCAAGGTTTCAACCATGACTCTGAAACAAGAATAGCATGGACATCTTTGCAGTTGAAAACTGTCAGCATATCAATGAAATGAGCCGGAATACTCTGAGCATTTATGTGGATCACATTAAAGTTCCGAGAAACATCCGAAAAAATGGATACTAGTGTGTCAGATAAAGGAGGCACACCATTAAATGTACTGTCTTCGTCTGAAGATAAAGATAAAAACACATCAGAGTCACTGTTGTAACTCGTGTTTGGCATGAGTTGTGTACATGTATGTATATGTGTAAGGTAAATAAATAATATGTATAGATAAATAAGTTAATAATATAGACAATATAATATTAATAAATCAACAGTAAATGAATATATAAAAATAAAGTTACTATACTATCAAGTGGATAATATTCATCCATCTGCCAGTTGACCTATCATAGAAATTTATAACAGCAACCAGTAGATTAAAAATACAAAAACAAGGAAGAAAAAAACGCTAATTAAATTGTATGGTAGTCCAGGTGACAAAATAAAATATTTATATAAAAGGAATAAAACAAGAACAAAACATTAACAACAACAGAGCACAACGTGTAACGAAACGTATCATTGACATCAAAATGTTGGTTGACATCATGTTGACATTGACAAAACCAACTTGACAAGTTGACACAATTTTTAATTTGTTAAGATTTTGAGTGAATGATACGATCGTAAAAATCTACTGCTACCGCAATTTACTTGTGTTGTAATAAAAACAAAGTGACGGTGAAATCAGACTACGGTTGAACAATATCAAAATAAATTTACCTACTCACCTGGACCACCAGCAGTGAAATAACTCTACAACAATTCGAAAAGATGCTAAATTGTTAACACCGAAAGTACTTAATTATTTCCGCGTAACACGCTTCGACATCTTTGGCTTCGGTGCTATCTCCTTGGCTCCCGCTGCATTTCCAGGCTGCGCAACCCTCTGCTCAGGATGACCAGATGCACTTCGCGCGGCGTCAGACGGGAGGCCAATCTTATCGAGATCATCCAAGGAAGATACTCGATGCCGAGACCCCTGCCCATCGAGGATATAAATATCTCCTTCCTTTGTCCAACACTGGTTCACGCCGAATTTATCCCGAGCGGCCATAAAAACATTATGTCGGGGTTTGGTCAGGAATTCCGAAATTGTTAAACCGGAACCCTTTAACCCAGCCTTACCGAACCAGATGCTATCTCGAAGAGTCACATCATGGAGCTTGAAAATTATTGGTCTGGGCTTCTGCATTGCACGACCCATCCTGTGGCACCGCTTAATATCTGGCAACTTCAAATCAAGCTTCAGATGCTCTTTAGCTACCTGGACCACCACCTTTGCTGTTACCTCTTCTTTAGCTTCGGGTACCCCATGCAAGAGCAATATTTTGCGCCTTTTGCGCATTTCCACGGTATCATTGCTTTGAACCAGGAAATTGACCTGCTGTTGAAGCATAGTGAGTGACTGCATGACGAATGATCGAAAAGCAGCAAACTCTAGGCTTAAACCTTGGGTGGTATCGAGTGTGCTTGGGTTTTTTCTCTGCTCCTCCTCGAATGCAGTCATTCGAGCATACATGCTCTTGCTTAAATCAGAGACTGACTTAGTGAGTGCTTCCATACTATCAGTGAATCCACTATGTGGTTGCAGAAATTAGTAAGAACTAAACTGGCAGAAGTAACTATTTAATAATTTAAAGTTATCATTAAAGTTATAATAATAATAAATATGAATTAATAATTTAAAATATTTTTTAAATGCACTAGCGTAATTGAAGTGTTTACTAGGCAACTACCCGCGAACGATTTTTTTTGAATCCAGGCCAGCCATTGGCCACCCAATGGGAATACAAGGACAATTAAAAATATTGTGTACAGAATGAGAAAGACTCAACAATTTCTTTTTTGGACCTAACTTTACTTTTTTATTTTCAGATGCACACCTGGAAGGAACAGAAACTAAAAATGAAAAACAGAAGATAGCAAGCTCATGAAAATAGTTATATTTACTTTAGTTAATTAGTAAATAAATAGTTAATTATAAGACACAACCTGTGTTTCTACTTTTTATTATCTTTTTAGACTTCTGCTATCAACGGGGCATACAACGCGTCATAATCATCAAGTCATTCCTTAGTATGTATGCATGTCGTAAGTATCAGAAACAATCCGTCAGTAATTATATCCAAGAAAGAAAAGGAATTTTCAATTCTATCGCAAAGAAAATAAAGTTGATAAATTTAAGCAGTTTATTGAGCAGCACTTTACCAATACATACTGAGACTTAAGACCTGAGTGGGATATCAAGGACGAAGTAGTTAAAATCGGGAGTTCTTTGAGTAAAATTTAAAAAAATAATCGTTCATATTTTTATTTTTGAATTCAAGGTGTAAGTATGAAGAGGCCCCACAATTAAGCCTTGAGTTTACTTATCATGCAACTTTTTTTTTTTTTTTTAAATATCATGCAACTATTTAACAATAGTCATTGTTCAGGTATTACTACTCTAAAATAGCAGATTAAAAGCATTCTATTGAGCATAATCAAAAATCGAACGCCTATCGATTCGCAAGCATGCCCAAAATTAGCATTCAACAACATTCCTACACACATGCTCAACCGAAGCATGCTTTTGTGCTTAAAATACGCAGGACTGTGTTAACAAGTCGTTCAACTTTCTTCGTTCGAATGTCTTTTGTTTTTTTTATTTCGGCTCCTATTTGTTGAATGACATCAGTACACAGATAATTTAAAACGTCACCATGTACCTACCATTTGTTTAATATTTTGACCTAGATAAATTAAAAAATTAATAAATATGAAAAGTATATCATTAGAGGGACCTGTTAAAACCGTAAAAGTTAAGTAATTAAGTCAAGGTAACAATAAAAACTTTATAATTACCTGGAGAATACTCGTAAACGTAGGTCATAAACGCAGTAATTTCCATCCATACAGACTCTAAAGGAAAACTTTAGACACTTGTTTAAAAACTTTTTACTTTCATAGACAAACAAATTGTTTATTTTATGTTTCAATGTCATAGTTTAAGCCTTGAGTCTTGTAACACTAATTTTAAGGACAAAATGTAAATTGGAGCTCGTTGTTAGGAACAGATGATAAAGTTTCACTCAAGAGTATAAGAAAAAAACACAGATTAAAGTCGAGAAATAAATTTTAAATCGTGTGGATTAAAATAAACTTGTGCTGACAAATGCCAAACAATTGCTTCGCTTTATGATTTGTATTTATCTGTCTTTATTTTAAACTAGCTTCTGCCCGCGACTTCGTACGCGTAATCCCATTTTTTGCCGTTCGTGATTTTCGGTAAAAGTAAAAAAAAAATAGATAAAAAGTATCCTATGTCCGTCTCCTGGTTCTAAGCTACCTCCTTGCCAATTTTCATCCAAATCGATTTAGTCGTTCTTGAGTTATAAATAGTGTAACTAACACGACTTTCTTTTATATATATAGATATATAACTACAAAATATTATAGTTCACTGAAAGCTGCCTCAGTATATGTATTTGAAAAAAGACATGCGAATGAAGTAATCTTCATTCAGACAGAATTGAACCCACAATAGTTAGTAGACCTGCCTACAAATTAACCACTGTACCAACCACACTAAGCTAAATATTTTCAATCTGTATTTTTTTATGTTGACACAATAAATATGGCAATGAGTTGAATGAGATAAAATCAGAATGTGATACTTTGACTAATATTTCTTTATTTACATTGTGAAGTGGGATTCGAGATAATTTTGCACACGTTGGTTCTATGACTAACAACCTTAGGTACTCATTTCAGCATGTTGTGCAACGTCCCATTTCTACTCACACACACCGGAGGTCACAGGAACGAAATGCAACGAGAACTGTTTATAAGGTCCAATGATACAAAAGCTTCAAAAGATAACATCTCTAAAACCGCAGATAGAGAAACATTTACAGCTTCAAACCAACCTAATGATGTATCAGGTTTACATAAAAATGCAATCGACGTCACAGATCCCTTATAAAGTAAAGAAAAAGAGAAAAATCATTCAGCAGTAATGACTATGTTCCAGTTACAACCGGAAAAGGTTACATTTCTGTTCGTCGGTTACGTAAATGTATGGAGAGAAGTAAGTCAGAGTGATAAATTAAATGATAGCATTGAAATTAACTAGTATTTGCATGCAGATAATTGTGACAGATCAGTACATACCGATGATACTAATGAAGATAATTTTTCCCCAGATATTATAACAATTTTAGTTTAAAAGAGAAGTACTAAATTAGAAACATGAGAACAAACGTGACCAGTGATAATCGTTGATTTGAATCAAATATTATTATTATTATCATTCACAGCTTTTTACTATTTTTGTAGTTAGTTTAATCAATAATAAATTAACAGTATTCAGAATTTAACACTATAATATACTATTGTCATAACAATTAATCAAAATATTGTTGAAAATATTTGGATTGAGTTGTAAAAGGGACGGCGCATGTGTGCTTACTAAAATATTATTGTTATTAATAAGAATTGTTTATTTACTCGCACCATGGAAGAGAACAAAATTGAAGTTGTAAATGAAAATTCGGAAAACAAATTCAAGGGTGAGTCTATTGACAAATATTTTTTGAAGAATAGAAACGTGTGTCCTGTCAACTTCATGGGAAACAATGACATGCTTTTCTACTTGATGTACGAAGAAACATTCTTATCATAGATTTGCAATCCATTTAAGTAACGATAAGAACTTCGCACACTTTACAAACTCGCATAAAGCAAAAATTTCACAAGTCATGTCAGTAGTGACATCTGTTGGTGCTGACACTATAATAATATTTATTTTATTATTAGATTCTGGTTTCGAATATAAGATGTCGCTATAAATAGTTTTAAAGTGCTTAGTGCATACCTAACTTCTTTGGTAAGACATCACGGGCAAATAGATTCACGTTTAAAATTCTTTTGTTCCTTTAAAATAAATGGTTAATCCATTTGGTTTAAAATGGATTTGTTTGAATATCATTACCGTTTTATATATACACAAAAGTATAGTAGTGTGAATAAATGCAGCCTTGGAATAAGCAACACAAACACTACTCTTTGGGGACACCGGGCTTGAAAATAGGGTAAACTTACACGCAAAATATTATGATTCTGATATTTGTTTAGTAACATAACACATGTTTTTGGGGATACAATGTAAGTGTTGTTTATCTCTGTTCTCTCATAATAAAATGAACCCTACAAAAGCCCTAGTTCACTAACCATAACACACAAATCAATCAAAATGAATACAACTCGGAAAGCTTAAAGTATTCTACCTCTAGGAAAAAGTTGTTACAATTTTGTCAACATCAGTTTCAGGATGGGGCTACAGACACAAGCAGTGTTTTATTCTGTTCTGGACGTTAACCATAGCGTACAGCATGAGGTCTTGTATGGGGGTAGCGCTAGTAGCTATGACAGACCATCACGTACGGGGTAACGGCACTAACGTTACCGATGTCAGTAACTTCGAAACCGACGGATTCTTGAATGCTCTAATGATTGTACCACCAGTAAGTACAACATATATATATTCGGTGTTAAGTTTCATGAATAAATGTTGCCTATCAAGAAATGTTTAGAAAAATAATGAATACATTCAATATCTGGTCTATTAGAGAATCAAAAATAATAGCTATTATTTTTTGATAGGTACACAATTATTATATAAATACCAGAAATATTGATAGCAAGTTGGAAAAATTAAGGTTTGTTACTAGTAAAATATACTCTTACCTTAATCTTCAGCTCATTACAAGTGATGTTAGATTCAATAGCAGTTTTTCTTAACAATATTATTATATTTTGTTCGCAGTACCCTGCATTTAGCTGGAGCAAAAAAGTTCAAGACACAGTGATCGCTTCGTTCTTCTGGGGCTACATGCTGTTGCAGATCCCGGCAGGACAGATAGCGCACAGGTTTGGGACTAGGTACCTGCTCAGTGGCGCCATGATGATCAACTGCTTAGTTTCCATCTTTTTCCCAATAGCTGCATATTACGTGAGTGGAAACTCCTTAAATGCCTCAAAGAAAATTCACAATAAATAATTCTTAAACATTAAAGTTATACATAGTAATGACAAATATTTTTGCAATTTTTTTTAACTTTTTTGTTAAATATATCAGGGTGGCTGGATATGCTCGGCAATATGCAGGGTTCTACAAGGTCTAAGTCAGGCTTGCATATTGCCTGGACTACACACTGCTTTGGGCAAGTGGGCGCCTCTACATGAGCGAGGAAGAATGTCTGCTTTCGTCTATGGAGGTATTTTAGTTATCAGTATAAATTTTTTAGCATACTCAGAACTTCTGAGTTATTTCAACTCTGTTTAAAAAATTTCAGGTCAAGCGTTAGGTACAGTATTTGGTCTACCTATCACTGGTTTCATTGCTTCATCACCCATGGGCTGGCCTGGCATATTCAGGTTCTATGGAATTGTGTCTGGCATTGTAAGCATAGTGCTATGGTTTATGGCTGCTGACTCTCCGGCGAAGCACCCTAAAATATCAGCTGATGAAAGAAAGTACATAGAAGATGAACTGGGAACGGGAGAAGCAGCTAAGGTAAATAGTGACATTGTAAAAAGTAGTATTTGCAATTCGTAATTTAAATTAAAAGCTTTTACTGTTTCGCAACGCAGACGGGGCTATAAATTACACTGTACGGTGAACTAACCACAAAGCTTTATATCGAAAGTTTAATGAATAAATTAAATTGTATACTATTGAAACATTTTAATGTATTTGCAGCGTGCAGCAGTACCCTGGGGAAAAATACTTCGTCATAAAGGTATGTATGCCATTGTGATCTCACACATTGGACAGACTTGGGGCCAGATCACTCTCTACTCAGAAGTTCCAGCCTTCATGGACAAAATTATGGGAGTCAACATTAAAGCGGTAAATATTATTTCAATTGAAACGTCAATCAAAATTAAAGAAATAAGAAATCACTTGGTCGATGTATTTTTTTACAGAATGGCTTACTAACAGCTCTCCCATTCTTAGTGATGTGGTTCACCAACTTCTTCTTCAGCTGGATGACTGATATGCTTATTGTGAAGAACATTCTGAGTGTCACTAATACTAGGAAACTAGCTAATTCACTAGGTAAGTAAAGTGAAAATTATTGTTAAGTATAATTGTCAAGTTAAAACTTTTCGTTAAGTATTAAGAAAATAGTTGTTATACTAAACATTTTTATTGGTTTCAGGAAACTTCCCAGCAGCCATTGGCTTGGTTGCGTTAGCCTATGTTCCTAAAGATATATACGTCATAGAAACTATACTAATACTTATCTGTGGGTTCAAAATATCATCACATTTAGGATTCCACGTAAGAAAATTTCTTTTAGAGATTGTATTCTATCCCAAAATAGTAAATCAGCTAAAATAGAACCATTACATTGCTGTTACAGATCAACCATATTGATATTTCTCCAAATTACGCTGGCACTATGATGAGTATCAGCAACTTTGTGTCCAACTCCTGTGCCTCCATGGCACCTCTCGTCGTTGGGTTCATTCTTACTGACGTGGTAAGTTCAACATTTACTCATAACACTTTTTAATGATAAAATTGTAACTTAATTAATAAAAACCACTTCTTATCTTCAAAGATTATTTGATTTACTTTTAATACTGGTAATTTCTTCCAGACTGATGAACTTCTCTGGAGAAAAATATTCTTCGTAGCGGCTGGAATTTACTTCTTTACAAATATAGTTTATCTTGTACTCGGCACTGCTGAGAAGGCTGAATGGAATGACCCACCCGAAGAAAAGACCGAAAAAGTTGATGAAGAGAGCGTCCCTATGATGGGCAAATTTAAAAATGGTGTAAACTAAATTGATGTGCAGGCTGAAATGAAAAGATGGGATGAAAAGCAGACAGGCGACGGTAAAAGCGATACAGAGAATGTAATTATGTAGTCGAATCATGTTTGAGGATTAAACAAACTGTATAGTATATTGATTTGGTTGCACCAAATCTTTGTTTAATTAATATTTTTCTTTTCCATTACTTTAGGATCGAGAAAAGCTCGAATAGAATGTTTGTGATACTACCTGTCTGGTAAAATTTGTTTAAATGTATCGTTCATATTGTGTAAGTATTGTACAAGTTTTATTTTTGCTTAAGTAATTTTGAAGATAGTGAGAATAATGCCACGTTTTATTTTAATAAATAAGTAGTCTGTAACATGTGTTATGTGATTGTTTTGTGATTTGTCTATTTTAGTATGCTTTACCTCTCCAAAGATTTTAAAGAATCGATTTATAACTTTACTAGAAATAAGTTTGGCTAGAATTAAGAACATTAGAATTTAGTTTATACTTTGTAACAATTCCAATAAATACAATTATAAGACTAAGTGTCCCTTATTATTTTACTACACCATCTAAGATACAAAGTATCTCATCAACAGCCTATAAGTGGCCACTGCTGACCAAAGGCCTCTGTTTGTACGGAGAAGATTTGAACATTATGTCGCACGCTTGCACAATGCAAATTGTCAATTTTAAACTCATAATTAGAATTAGCCCAGTTTCCTCTCGATAATTTCCTTCACATCAAGGATACCAGTACAATTAATAAGATAAGAACTCGCAAGTTATTTTAGATGAAAATTTTACTACGCATTTGAATGAAGATCTTAAAGATAAAACGACAAACTACAAACCTATACACAGTAGCATTGAACTTGCTACATAATAATATAGTATTTGCATAAGATAATTATAACACTAATGCACACAAGAATAATACTTTTACAATTATCTGATTGTTCAACGTCGACGTGAAAGAAGCGTTCTTTGTACGTCAGTTTGATACAGATCTCGAAGCAAATACTGCAGAGTTACTAGAAATTAATGAACATAATGTAATAAAGTCGCTTCTTGGAGATAATTCAGTAGTCAGTGTAATAAAAACGAAATAAAAGAATGAAGTGAATGTAGGAGTAAAGCTTGTGGTATATGATATAACAAGATCTGAAACAGCTACTGTGGTAGATAAAAATATAATATATCTCAAACAAATGAACATGGAGAAACAAGAGGTTTTGGAGAAAGAATCAAAAAGTAATTTTAAAGGTGAGTTGAACTTGTGATTAATTGGGAATATGTCTGAAAAGTTTACCAATGTCACAGGCCTCCGCGTAACTTCAAACTATTTGGTTTATCGCCCATAGATTAATTGAGTAACGTCTGGATTTGGACCTTAAATTTGGATTTGTTTGCAAGTTAAAATTAGACTTAGATTGTATTGAACTTTGTGAACTATTATGTCTAAGTAAAGACAATGCTACACGTTTTAACATATTGAGTTTACGTTTACATTTCAACTGAGAGTTAGGTAATTAATGCAAATGAGTGGTCATTCCCAAAGCTCATTATTTGATTCAGATGCAGCATTCAGTTAGTTTTGTAAGTGGTTCATTATCTTAGGAAGGCTTTTCCAACCCACTAATTTTTAGTTTCAGGATGGGGCTACAGACATCAGCAATGTTTTATACTGTTTTGTACTTTAACAGTAGCTTACAGCATGAGAGCTTGTATGGGCGTATCTCTAGTAGCTATGACAAAATATGGAAAAACTGCAGCCAATGTTAGTGTTGTATTGGAATCAGAAGAATCAGAGAACCAGTTTAAACCAGAAGGAATTCTGAATGCTTTGATGTTGATACCGCCTGTAAGTAGCATCTCGTTTGATTTTATACTATTATGTAACTTTAGGCATAGCCAAATGACATGACAGGCTGCATTTACTTATCTGTAAAAAACTTATGTAATTTTTAATGGAATAAAAATGCATATTGAGTCTTCAATGAAATATAGTACACCTGTATACTCAAGTATTAGTGGCTTCCGTTTTTGCAACGTTCTGTAAATATACGTAAAGATAAAACATGGTGCATGTTTACTCGTCATAATAATTATCAGCCCGAATACGATTTGTAATGCAGTGTACATTATTATGTAAAGTTAGATTGCATTTTCAACTACATTGCACACATATTTGTAAGTCAGCGTCATATAAAATAATGTCACTAAACTGTCAAAATTCTTTAATAGAATCCAATTTTAATGCAAAGAATGGTAGCATTCTTTGCAAATTTTATTGAAGAATAATAGTTTAGAAGTAGTTCTAAACTATTATTCTTCAATAAAATTTCGACGTTATGACAGATGATGTTAAAGTTGAGTACCTGTTTAACAAAATAGTTTTATATGATGGCATTATTGTAGCATCTGATACAAAAATAATGACTATTACAAATCCAAATTATCTTCACGTTTCAGTACCCAACATTCGACTGGGACAAAAAGACACAAGATGCAGTGATAGCATCATTCTTCTGGGGGTACATGCTGCTGCAGATCCCTGGTGGCCAGCTGGCGCACAGGTTCGGAGCCAGGTACCTGTTGACTGGAGCCATGATGATCAATTGCGTGGCCTCCATACTGCTACCTCTAGCTGCTTATTATGTAAGTGAAACATACATTACATGATATTATGCAAAGTGCATTACTGGGCTATTTAATTGACCTCATTTACAAAAGGTTTTCCAAAATCTTCACACTTAGTAAACGGGTTGAAGATTGCTGAATGTTTCAGATTTATTTGCTCCTTTTATTAATATTTTTGTTTTCAGGGTGGTTGGATAAGTACAGCAGTATGTAGAGTAATACAAGGTCTGAGCCAAGCCTGCATAGTACCAGGACTTCATACATCATTAGGAAAATGGGCGCCTCTACAAGAGAGGGGGAGAATTGCAGCGTTCGTCTATGGAGGTTTGTTTTCTTTACGTGGGTAGTACACGAGACTATCATTATTGTGATATTTGGAGTTGATGTTGTTAAATTATTTGTCTCTTTTCAGGCCAAGCACTGGGTACAGTTTTCGGACTACCAATGACGGGTTTTATATCTTCATCTAGTCTCGGCTGGCCTGGCATATTCAGATTCTACGGAATACTCTCAGGAATTATCGGTGTCCTACTGTTCTGGTTAGCCGCTGATACTCCAGCCAAACATAAAAAAATATCTATGGCTGAAAGAAAATATATCGAAGATGAATTAGGAACAAGAGATGAAGTCAAAGTAATCGAACAAATAATTAAAAAATAATTTTCGGACCACGTTCAGTTATACTCATTCAAAATTGTTTTGTTCCAGAAAATGCCAGTGCCTTGGACTAAAATTCTAAGTCACAAAGGGGTTTATGCCATCATACTTGCTCATATTGGAACAACGTGGGGACAACTAGTTCTTTACTCGGAAGTTCCAGCTTATTTAGACAAAATTATGGGAGTTAATATAAAAGCGGTAACTGTCGAATTTATTCTTAATTATATATATTGTAGTTTCCATTTTAGTCTGACAACATTTAAATATCTATTTATTAATCTTTCAGAATGGTTTGTTAACTGCTTTGCCGTTCTTAGTGATGTGGTTTACCAACTTCTTTTTTAGCTGGATGACTGATATGCTGATTGTGAAGAACATTCTTAGTCCTACAAACACAAGGAAATTTGCCAATTCTTTAGGTAAGTTCTTACAAAAAGCACCTACAACACTAGGCTTTTGTACAAGATTTTGAGAGATTTATCTGTACTATTCATATTTTTAGGTAATGTACCAGCAGCTTTGGGACTAATAGCTCTGGCGTATGCACCAAAAGACATGATAATTGTAGAATCGATATTGGTTTTCACATGTGCCTTCAAAATATCAGCTCATCTAGGATTTCAGGTAGAAAGTTTTCTTTAAAAATATTACTAAGCAGTTGCTTCAAGCAACTTAACTTATTAAGGTTATTTAAGTTGTCGCATTCAATTTGCTTGACTGAATTTTAATAAGTTTCTTATTGAAAAATAGCATTTAGGAAAATGTCATAAGTTTCATAATCTATAAACAGTTTAATCAACAGCCTGGTTTTAATCACAATTTAAATTATTGTATTTCATTATTTTACTGAACTGGTAATTATTATCTATCTGATTTTTTTTATATCAATATTTTAGATTAACCACATCGACATCTCCCCCAACTTCGCCGGCACTATGATGAGTCTTAGCAACTTCACGTCAAACATCGGAGCGTCCATCGCTCCTCTCATTACTGGATTCATACTTACTGATGTTGTGAGTTAACAATTATAATTTTATATTAATTTCTTTTCAATTCAATTGAATATGCGGTTTGTTAACTGTTAATTCATGGCCTTGAGTTTTGTTTTCAAATACTCAAACGTTACTTTAAGTCGCGCTTAAATCTAGTTCTGTTACACCGAATTCTTTTTAATACGACAGAGATGGCACGATATTTAAGTACAACATCAAATTGAGTACCCTTTCGGTATTCGGTTAATCTCTATTTGTATCTTCTAACCCACTTTATTTTCCCCAGAATGACGTATACCTGTGGCGGCAGGTGTTCTTCGTGGCAGCGGGTATATACCTCGTGACTAATCTCATCTACGTGATCTTTGCAACTGCTGAGAAGGCGGAGTGGAACGACCCGAAGGGAACACAAGTGAATGAGGAGGAAGGACAACCTATGATGGAGAAGCCCAAATTACAAGAGACTTAGTTAAACCTATATTTTATAGTATAAATGAAAATGGTGCTACAGAGAATAGATTGTAAAATTGTTAATATTTATCATTATAATTATTTAGACCAAGTTGTGATTCTGCTTTAATATACCTCAGTACATTTTTATTTAGTGTACATCATGTATCCCATAACAAGTTGTGTCTATAAATCACTGTTCACCTACACGAACACGACAAAGGTCGCAGCACTCCATAAATCCGATATCAAACAAAAAATAACAAGATTCCACTTCACTTGGGAAATAGTCGCAGTTTTAAAATGTTCTGTTTAAATAATGACGTCACAGTGCACAGCGCGGGCGCCCGGAAGACATGATTAACGAATGTTCTAGACTACGAGAATGAATCGCTTTCCCTGAGATTTCACTTCATGTTTAATGTTGCGAACTGCAGACATTTTTAAATGCAACCCATTTATTTGATTCGTGGTCGTTGGTCTTGAAGTTGTCAGGGGGACTGACGTGCTAGGCTAAAGTGACTATTTGATTTCGATCTCAAGTCGACCAAAAATCATTTAGCTACATAGATGTTCGAAAGTACTGCTACAGAAAATTTTAATTCGAAAATAAAGTATTTAAAGTAATACAATACTCTGCCTCGTTGGCCGAGTGGTCGCAATTGCGACTGCCGGGCAAGGGGTCTCGGGTTCGATTCCCGGGTCGGGCAAAGTATTACTGAGTTATTAAAAAATTTTGAGTAGTAGCACGGAGTCTTGAACTGGGCCCGGTATATGGCAATAGGCTCACCCCCTATTACATGGGACTCAACACAAATAGTGAAAAGTGAGTGTTACATTGTACAATGGTATAATGTGCACCTCTGCCTACCCCTTCGAGGATAAATGGCGTGATGTTGTGTTGTGTGTGTGTGTGTGTGTGTGTGTTATGTGCTACCATCAAAATTATGATACGTGATTTATGAAGCGATATATTTTTTGGAACATTTTATTTAATTAGTATCTACTAAACAATATTATCTCAGTCATTGACTAAACGAATTAGTTTAGAGTGTTCATTTTTATACATAAATATTTAATCACAGAAGTGTAGCTGCAAGACATATGTAGGATAAAATGACAACGAACAGAAATGTGAATTACATTACTATTGCAAAAAGAACATGTTTCCCAGTATTCAGTATTACCTACTCTAAGATTTCAAAAGGTTCCTAGAAAGTGTTGTTATCGTATAATCTTTTATTTTCAATAATTCTAAGACATTTTAAAGAATATTGTCATTAAACTTTTGTCCAACGAAAACAGTTCGATCTTGAGATTTTTAATAGCAAAAACAAATGTTTGTACCAGGAAAACCGGCAGTGAAAGTACGAAAGGCGCGATTAATTTCCTTCGACGGAAGAATTTCATTACGGCAGCCAAAGGATCAGTGTTTCAAAGGGCATGAGAAATTTCGAAGGTTTTTTTTTCTACAAAAAAATAAAATATTTAAAAATGTGCTTTTCCTTGTTTACTTCATACCTTTAAAGATTTGGCTACCCAAGCAACTTAACTATAAACCACTCACTATTATAAAGCCGGTGTCACATAATTAAATCTAATATTATCTAACAAGGTCGTGGTGGCCCGGAGGTTTAAGACGCCCGCTTCTCATACATGAGGGTGCGAGTTCGAAACCTACCAACGGCAAGTACCAATGTGACTTTTTCCGAGTTATATGTACTTTCTAAGATTATGGAGACACCACTGACAAACGGTGAAGGAAAACATCGTGAGGAAACCTGGGCTTATAATTTCTAATTATAAGTTTGTAATCGCCAACCCGCATTGAGCAAGCGTGGTGATTAATGCTCAAACCTTCTCCGTGTGAGAAGAGGCTTTGCTCAGCAGTGGGCATTTATAGGCTGTTGATGATGATTATCTAACATAGTCCCTTATGCATACTTTCATAATCGGGTAGTTTCCGGGGTATTAAAATTAAAAATCCAATTAGTCCGTCAGTTAGATAATGAAAAAATATTAGACACATATTTTTTTATTTTCTCGTATTAAGTTGCAATACTTAGATAAAATGGTGCTAAGTTTAGGAGTGGGAGGTCGTTACGACATAACGTGCTACAAAATGTGGCACGCTGTGACGTCATACGAAATTTCAAATTAATATATCGTATTTAATTTCGTGAGAAAAGAAAAAATACGCGTCTAAAGTTTTAAATTAATGTACCAGACCGACATTAAAATAAAAATTGATTAGTCGCCATCATCTATCCATTTCCGTTTTTTAATTGAAGACGGAGGTCACAACGAACTTCATTGTACTTTAATCGAAAAAGTTTGTGCATCGTGATCCAGTTTACCAAGTTCCTGTCTTTTAAAACCTTGCCTTGGGTAACCGCACTAGATCCACACATTTACATTTTGATCACAATGTTCCATATTTTTAGTTATAATGTCAAGCAAAAACAGCTAATGTTCGAACAATAGTTATCAGATTAAGTTGAGACAGCTATAAAATATCCGATGATAATGTCAAGTCAAAAATTCAGTAATCATTATACAAAAAGATAAAATGCTTCATTTGAGGTATACGAAACTTTGATTTGTATTATTTTGTAACTACGATTAATATAAACTATATAATAAAAGAATTAGACAAAAAGTCACAATCCTACAAATCTTAATGCACATAATATTCAAGGCGCAAAAACGTTGATGATGTTTTGAACCACTTAAATGCTCCAGTTTATCGCAGAAACTTCTTTTGTTCTAACTGGAGGATAGTGTTACTCATTATCTTCATTTCCTCCTTTCATAGCAGTGCCTTTGGATGCAATTTCCAAGATACTACCTTTCAAGAAAAAATCAACCTTGGCTTCCACAGGTTAGGATTCAAAATGGAGCAGTGAATCCTACAAAGATAAATCAGCCTTTCAATACGTATTTTCTACCTGGCATTTTGTAGTTGGTTGGAACAAAACAGCCAATAAGCTTTGGGGAATTCTTTTTAAATAGGTGCTGGATTACGTTGTCTAATTTTGCCTTCAACAGAATAATGTCATTATGTGTGCACTTTCTGCTATATTCTTTGCTGGATTTAATTTCGAAGATTTTTGTACTGGATTTTTGTCAGTGAAAGAATTTTTAATTTTAGTCACGGTATGTATGACGTCATAAGTAGTGCATTCTTATTTTAAAAAGTGTCGTCAATAATCTTCTCATTACTGTTTTTTTTTTTTGGTACTCGATTCTTTTGAAACGAAGATCGCAATTTTACATGTTAACGGTGTAGAAATTCGATTGAAATCATGTTTTATATTTTTTTTTTTTATTTAAAATCTTATCTAAAACTATGATTATAGTTTTCTTCATTGCGATAGTTTAAGCCTAAAAATAAATCTAAGTACCTACTAACTAATTTAAAACAAATATAACAAAACCGAAAAGAAAGCTTAGCTTAGCTATTTACTAAACTTAAAATTAAAAACATACAAAAAGAAAATAAGAAATATAAAGGAAAATAATACCTTCTAAAGTTTAAAAAAATCTTAATATAACATAACCTACTTAATTATTTAAATCTATAAAAGTATAATGAGATGACTTTAGTTGTTGGTTTTCGTCGTTTAGTATGCATTTTTACTAGTTTTTTTAACTATGACTAGAGTTGATATCCACCAGCATCATATGGTATGTGCAGGCTTGATGTACCGGACCATGGTACGGAGCGAGGGGGACTGGGATGCCGTCTCCTCCTTCTGCGAAGCAGTCATGCTAGCTAAGGAGGAGGCGGAGCGCGTGAGGGAACGAACCTCCTCACGACCCGGCCGTCGCGAGAGACACTCCGGGCGTCGGGGATCGCGAGACGATCTCCGGCCACCGTAAGCACGGGCCTGCGGACGGCGAGCATGGGTGACTCGCCGCCCGACCAGAACCAGGCCCGTGCGTACGGCGCGTCGCGTTCCGCGCGCGCCTCAAGGAGCCATCAGACCACCACAGATGGGGCCTAACAAGGCTGATGCCGATACGGAGCCGCGGAAGACTTAACGGGTTGCCGGGGCTCCGGTTCGAAGTGCAGGGGTAGGAACGGGGTGGTTTTTAGTCAGTAAGAGTCTGACACTCCCTCCCGCCTCACCCAGGCGGGAGAAGTCATTGGATGATTTTCCCCCCTCAAAAAAAAAAAAAGGCTTGATGTACCGATTTGAATGTTTCCTGAATAAATTTGTAAGTAAACATTTCCTATTACCGTCAAAACATTTCACTCGACTGCGATCCTGGAATGTTCAGTAGCGTTCATTAAACTGCTTCCATTATTAACTTTTAATTTTCTTTACAAGTTGATGCTCGAACAAATTCAATTTCCCCCAGAAGATACCTTATCCTCCAGAAGAGGGGAGAGTTTGTTCCTGAAACAATGTAATGTGAGTCACATGACATACATAAATATACAAGTTCAATGAAAGTGCAGGTCAGGTAGACAGCACATCAAGTGACTCTAATCGGAAGCGGTTCTCATAGGAATTTCAACTTTAAATAAAATTAATTAAAGCTGAAAACCCAATAAGATAGAAAAGTGAAGGTTGACCTGCTGTTGTCTAAAGTACACAACTGAGATTGAAGAGTCGAATATTATTTTAAACTCATTTATATTTTTAAATATTTGTTCTATGAATTGCAAATAGATTATTTAATGGTACTGTATGCACTCATTGGGATGATGAAATGATAACAGTATATTTGGTATTAATTCCTTCATTAATGTCTGACGAGTGAATGTGAAACCCATCATTATTTTGATCTCAACTTTAATGCTCTGTAGACAAAGTACCAATTTGCTTTTAAATATACAAGTCTTTGAATTTATTAGGTGTTTAATTTACGTATCTTATGTACATCCACACTAAGTAACCAAGTACAACAACAACACCAACAGCCTATAAATGCCCACTGCTGATCAAAGGCCTTTTGTCAGACAGAGAAGGTTTGAGCATTAATCGCCACATTTGCTCAATGCCAGTTGGC